TCTTCATACTTGTACCGTCCAACAGATGGAGGCAGACCCTCCGAATGATGATCTTGTTCATTTTGATTGGTATGGGACATTTTGCATGATATCTTGATTCCCAGAGAATGTGTTAAGATGAATCCCACAAATTTACCAAAAAATAAATTCTCGGAACTTTGACTCTCTTCTTAGCGTAGGTTAAGAACTATATATAATATTGCGGGACATTTAGGTTTCACCTTTCCAGGTTTATCTTATAGATCGCTAAGAAAACTAGCTGTAAAGATGACGGAATAACCGATGAATGGTCAGTCGGACGAATTCGTAAGCCTGATTTGGTACCAGGGCCTTGGAGAAAGGCCAAGGACAAAAAGCGAAGATGGGAGCGGGCGGCAAATCTCAGGAGCTCAGTGATCCAAACGAATAGCAAAAATGCCTCACACTTAAAGGGTTATAGATTCGTGGAAAGAAGAAGTATAAATCACAAAAAGGGAAGGTGATGCTGTGATGGTACCTAGGTAGTGAACACTGAAAATTACCTGTCACACCTACGGCAGACGGATAGTTGTACCGTAAGTGAACAGAGTAAGCTAAAAAGCGTAATATATTGTACCCGTCCGATATGGGAAAACCGGGAGTATTAACCCTATCTTATCCCCACATCCCTGTCGATCTGTGCTAACCAACATTGGAAGTTGGGACTCGAGGTCTATATCGTATCGGTTAGGGCCAATGCAGCCTAGTCACCCCCGCATGTATGGATACTATTGGCACAGCCATACACTATTTCCGCCAAACATCTATGTGTATGAGGCTTTATGTGCAACACACATATATTCGGATATTCCGAGGGATTTTGTGCAGACAGCTCACTCACATCTGGGGCTGTTCTTCGATTAAGTTTTCGAAACAGGTATAAGAATGTCACCATCCTGGGCTCGTTGATCTCTTTCATACTAGAAATATCACTCATATCCACAACAATTTTGGCAGTTTTTTTTATGTCAATGCGCGGCACGAGCAAAAGACCAAATTTTCCTGTCATCGCTGCCGGTGATCTCGGCTTCAGCGACATCTCTCATTGCGGAGGAGAGAGATTGAGACTCCATCACCCGCAAAACTTGCGAAAGAGGACATAAACAGCCGAATGGCCAACTCTCACACTGCTTGATACCGGCTTCATCTTATAAGATTCGGGATATTATACATTTATGCTGAGGAAACCGGGAGTCCCCAACCTCAAGTTTTGGTTTCGCATGTGTCAACCCGTAGTTAACGACTAGGGGAATATGGGCGTCTTGAAAGAACCAAATGATTTTACAACTTGTTCTAGGGGCTTTGAGAAGAGCCTCTTTCTACTTTTGGGACTAGCAATAATCATAATTACGAGCTTTAATTGAAAAATGACGAGTTATAAGCTCCTTGTTTGAACATAGATAGATTTCGACGGAAGGATACAAATGCATGAACCAGTTAGCAGATCTTAGGGTTAAGAAAATTGAGGTTATGTATGACTATATTGTGTTTGACCCATACTTGACAGTCCCACTTCAAGCTTTGATTGTCCACTAGATTAGATTGGATCACTAGGGCTATATGATTGTGCCTGTTTGTGGGCATAAGCAAGGAATAACCTCTTTAAGCCAGATTTTGATCTCATATGTTCCTTGAAAATGGACCAATACGTTTCCCAAGGTTGTTCGACATCAACCTGGCCCCATCCACCCCGCACAAAACTATGGAATCCATATCACTTTCTGTCCTTGAGGGATTTCAAGATCAGGGATTTTTATATACAGGTCAAATCTTGAGATCATTGAACCGAGGGGGACCAAGATATAAATATCTAGTCAATCACCAAGTACTATAAGAATTCCTTGGGCGTCATTGGGGATCCTCATTGGTACAAGTACGTATTTCAAGAGTCTATAATTGGAAAGGCTTATTCCAAAGTCCAATCTGTCATTTAACCACATGCTGAGCATGTACCACAACTGCCTCATCGCGACATTTGGATGTTTCAGGGGCAAAGTAGAAGGCGGGATCCGCTGACTTTGTGTGGTACACTAGTCTCCTTCCCAGGTCAACCCAGGGGCTATTACGGAGTTCTCCAGTATAGTTATGAAAGCGTGGTCTCGAACTGGGCTTAGGACTATAAAAACACCAGTGAAATTTGACGATTCTATGCTCCGCAGCTACATATTGAAAGAAGCCGTACAGTACGGAGTACATTCTCTCTCTCGACTCGGCTATGTACGTGCATCTCCCATATTTTGCCGGTCCATATCGGGCCGTACATGGCAAAATCCCGATTCTTTGAGGCCCACTCTCGGCATCCCTTCATCCGATACACTTCTCATGATCCCACACACACATATAGTGCATACGTACATCTATTCTAGAAGGTAGGGACATCTTTAGGTATAAATGGATGATTGTAGGTCTTGGGACAATAAGAATTCAGAGATTTTATGCCGGAAAGGGTACGATGTTTGCGAATGTTTATAGTAGGGCATGCCGTCATAGCCAAATCCGGTAGAAAACCCCCGCGGGAGTAAAAGCAAATCAACCAATCAGCAAGCGTGGAGATATTTATGAATGGAGACTCTGGAGAGAAGTTCCTCCCCGCAAAGCTGCACCCAGTCACCGAAATTCCCCAAAACGGCAAAAACGGCCCTGGTAATAGCTCCACGTGCCCATTTACCCGGGGAATCGGGGCATATGGGGACATGAGAAATTACTCCGTACACATTTACCACATTACTCGAACTAGTATTTACTCCTTTTCCTTTCCTCTTTTTCTCTTTTTCCCATTCTCAATTCCTCACTTCCCCTCCTTCAACCCCCTCCTACCCCGCCATGTCACCCCAACAAGAGCTCGTGCCGCAAACAGAATCCATCGCGGAAGTCTACGCAACAGATGACGCCTCGTTGAACTCCGTTGCACCGGAGCATCAGCAGCGATGGACCAACCTGATCACCCAGTTCAACAAGACCTATAATCACCGTCCAGACTTCGTGGCGCGCAGTCCCGGCCGCGTGAACATCATCGGCGAGCACATCGACTACTCACTATACGATGTCCTGCCGACCGCCGTCAGCGTCGACGTGATCATGGCTGTCAAGGTGGTCCCCGCCAGCGCCGAGGGCACTACCATCACGATCGCCAACGTCTCGCCGGAGAAGTTCCCCACACGCGAGTTCAGCGTGCCTCACGATAAGGACGTAGAGATCGACCCCAAGAAGCACGAGTGGGTGAACTACTTCCGCGCCGGCCTGTCAGGCGCCATCAAGTTCCTGCGCAAGGAGAGACCCGATGGCTCAGTCATTCCTGCCAGCATGCAGATCCTGGTGGACGGTAACGTGCCACCCGGTGGTGGTATCTCTAGTAGTGCTGCATTTGTGTGCGCCAGTGCCCTGGCCGTTATGAAGGCCAACGGCCACGACGTCTCCAAGCAGGATCTCTTGGATCTGGCTGTTGTCTCGGAGCGGGCTGTCGGTGTCTATTCCGGCGGGTGAGCTACCCCAATCTCAGTAGACAAAACCAACAAAATGCTAACTTGACTACGTAACAACAGCATGGATCAAGCAGCATCTATCTTCTCCAAGCGCGGCTACCTACTCTACACACAATTCTTCCCTAAATTCAAAGCCCACCACGTTCCCATTCCCACATCCTCCGACGAAATCACCTTCCTGATGGCCCAGAGCTTCGTTACCTCTAACAAAGCCGACACCGCTCCGCGCCACTACAACCTGCGCGTAGCAGAGTGCACCCTCGCCGCCGTGATCCTCGCCAAGCACAACGGCGTGACACTACCCAAGGACAACAGCTCTCTCGGCTACAGTCTGCGCAACTTCCACAACGAACTAATGACCAAAGAAGGCCGCCTCCAAGACCCACTAGAGTACCAAATCGACTCAGTGATCCAAGCAACAATGGACCTATTCACACAAGAAGAGGGCTACACACGCGAGGAGATGGCACAGCTACTGAGCATCAGCGTAGCCGATCTCGAGTCGACCTTCCTCTCCGCATTCCCCGTTCAAGCAGAGCGATTCATGCTCCGACAGCGCGCGCTGCACTGCTTCAAGGAGGCGCGCCGTGTGCTCGATTTCAAGGCCTGTCTCAGCAAGGCTACGCAGCTGGACGAGAAGCGCATTCACTATCTCGGCCAGTTGCTTAATGAGTCGCAGGAATCGTGTGCTACGGCGTATGACTGTAGCGCGCCGGAGGTCGATGAGATCTGTGCTATTGCGCGTCGTGCGGGTACTTGGGGTAGTCGCTTGACTGGTGCTGGGTGGGGTGGTTGCACTGTTCACATGTTGCCTCAGGGTAAGGTGGAGGCCGTGACTGCCGCGCTGAGGGATGAGTATTATCTCAAGAAGTTCCCGGATATTAGTAAGGAGAAGTTGGAGCAGGCTATGGTTATTAGCAAGCCGTCCAACGGTTCGTTTTTGTATGTTCCCTTCCCCCTTGGATCGCTGGTATATGGATGATGGCTAACGTTTTTTTAGGGTTACGGGAGCTGCTATTGACCAGATCCCTCTTTGAACATTGCATAGTAAAATGAAGTAAAACCTACTCGAATAGGGCTCTTTATTATATTGAAAATCCAAAATCCAAAATTACATTCATCCTTCATGGATTATTCAACAAATAGTATACAGTGAAGATGCACAAAGATGCGCCGGCTTGGAGGAAGATAACCCATATCTCTTAGGCACCGGCGTCTTTCAAGATAGCCAGTTGATATGTGCCTTCCAAGGAATCTAGGCGCTTCCAAGTAATCGCGTAGCTTCGTTGGGATTGTGGAACGAGGCGAGTCTCTCAACTCGAGTTCACTTGCACTGGGAGTGCCTTTGGTGGCTCCGTCTTGGTGGGAGGCCCTGGCCTCTAGATATATAGACAGAATCTTGAAGCATAGAACTTTCTGCTTGGATCTCTCCGAAGCCAGGCAATAAATTACCCGCATAACATACGGCTATGTTATAGTTCAGTATCCGCAAAAAAAACTTCAAGTCTTCTTTGGTGCAGCCTTGGCGAAGAAAGCGCTCATTTTCTGCATCCCGCTAGTGTTGACCTTCTTTAGCTTCTTAACTGCTTGGGATTCCGCAGCCTTGGACTTTTTCTCTTCCTCATCCTTGCGGCGTTTCTTCTCCTCCCGTGTATCCTCTTCCTCGTCGTTAAGGGCCCGTTTCCGACTGAAGTTGGACATGTCCCGTGATGCAAGTGCTTGAGCACGAAGCTCCGCAATCTCCTTGAGACGGTCTTTCAGCGGCTTAAAATCGATCGGGCTCTCTGCAGAAGCGAGAATCTCATCTACTCTCGAGGCCATGGTGGTGGGCAGATAAGACTCCTTCATGAAGGACAGCGCAGTGGAAATTCGGAGGAGCCGAGTAATGCGATCCGGAACTGTTGACTCTTCGCTCGGTGGCTGTGGCACAGGTGTCGACTCTCCTACAGGAGTCGCAATAGACGGGGTCGCAGTTGTATCCACAGTTGAGGGTGAATCCTGCCTCTCCTCAGATTTCGAGGCCGATTCCTGGCTCTCGTTTGATGGCTCTTGGCTAGTCACAACATCTTCTCGTTTGACCGACATCAATGGCGTGGCTAGCGCCTCACGAACAAAACGTTCTTCCAGACTCACAGGAAGACCATGATCCGCCATGCGTTCCGCCTTTGTGACCAACTCCTGAACAAGCTTGGTCTCGTTGAACCGGAACATCTTCTCATCCCCAGCCTCGACCACTTCACAAATTGCTTCCACCCGTTCTAAAAGGGAGCCCCGGAATTCATCATCATAAAGGACCTGGCGCAGATGCTTGGGCATGTCGTCTTGGGAATCGATTATATCGTCAAACGGCTGGAAAAGAGAACGGCCTGAATTCGGAGAAGGTGCTAACAATGGAACCATGAAAAACATCGCATCGATTGGGGTCGCCACCAGGAACTCTGCTTTCTTCGTGATTGAGCCCTGTGCGGAGGGCTCGGTATCCTTTTTCTCTTCTTCCGACGAGCTTGGGGTTTTGCGTGTGCGAGGAGTGAACAGGATACTCCGCCCCAGATGCGCTGGCGGTGCAACAACTGTAAATTCGTATATACCGCGATCCGGGCAGAAGAAATAGCGCGTTAGCTCTCCCGATTGGGGATCTGGTAAGGAGAGGAGTCGCGCATTGTCGCTGGTAGATGATGGGAGGATGAATGTTTTGCTTGGTTTCTCTGCTGCAACAAGTGTTTTAGTCTTAGTCTGTTCTTCAGACTTCACTTCAGACTTTGCTTTTGCTGGGGCTGATCGAGTCCTCATTGTGTGTGTTATAAGGTGTGAAGGTGAAGAGAGTGGAAACGGAAGGGGCTAAAATGGTAACCGCGACGCGCCCAACGCGCCTTCCGCTGTGCACGATCCGTCACTTTGCATTAGCGAAGTTTCAGCCCTTGTTGTTTCTATCCCTGTCTTCTGTCTATTCTCATTTTAACTATTTTACATTCTCTAAATTCTACATCCTGCAATCTACATTCCGCGCAAGGGCAGAAGGTGTGGGCCGCAGATGACGCTCCATGATCTATTCGCTCTCTGATTACGTCTGAAACTTCTCATTTATCGCCAGTAAGGCTCCTTCAATCGCTTGGGCTGACAGATGACTAACTATTTCTCCCCCGCTAAAGTGGTTGAACCTGTGTGGCCGCCCCAATCGCCCCGCGCGGCCCTCTTGAGTTCGCCAGCCGGACGACGAAAGTACCAAGACATGCAACGCACCCGAGAGAATATGACATCGCCACTGAAGCGTTCAAGTACTACACCTAATCTCCGATCAAAAGCGAGTCAAATTGTGGACGAAGATGATGGGGAAGAGGAGGACGAAGAAACCCTGCAGCTTCAGCTAGCCGAGATCAAAGCGCGACTGAAATTGAAGAAACTCCAGCAAAAGAATCGTGGAAGGTCTAGTTCGAATCTCGACGACGAAGATGTGCGACCAAATTCCGCAATTAGCGCTCTGCGAACAGAAGACCGCGGTGCAACACCAAGAATCGCCAACGGAGTGAGGCAAAGAACGAGCAGCGATGGAATCCAGGTTCCGGCATCACCTACCAAACGAGAACTTCCTCCCTCCGACCCAATATCACCTCGGAGGTATGTCATGGGCATTGATAAGGGCTGGAAGGCCAGTGATGTATCCTTGAGACGACCTCCAAGACCCGACACTCGACCAAGTAGTCATATGGGATTTCGAAACGGTGCTACACCGCGCTCGAATGACATATTTGGCTCGCGGCCCCAGACTTCTCCCTCATCAACGGGAGGGCTTAATCGAATAAAAAGTTTTAGCGAGAGAATGGCGGAAGGCAGAGCGGCTGAGAAGTCTCGACTGGAGAGAGCAGAAAGGGTCCAGGCTAACCGCAGTTCGGCTTTTCAAGTCGACAAATCGGAAATTGAGGCTTTCAAAGCTGCAGCTTTGGATACAAAGCATTCCCCCCCGCCGTCTTCATCAAGGGAGCGGCCTATGGAAAGCTTCACGCGTGAGGATATTCTTCGATCTATGGGACAGGCCCGCCCATCCGGTCTGCAACGCAGTAATACAACTCCGAGTGTTCGGCGAATTGAGGACGGTGGTCACAACGAAAGACCATATCATCTACATAGACGAACTCATACAGCAGAAGAGCCAAATTCATCCCAGAAACTAGGCCAAACAGATGATGCTTTGGTGAAGTCCCCGGATTCATCAAAATTCGAGTCCTACTCAGCACTGCATCTATCAAGCCGAGTTCTTCCGCATTCTTTCTTGGGCCGCACACTCGCAGATAAGAAGGTTATGCGCATCCCCGATCTACTCAAAACCGTCAAGGGGCCCGCATTCGAGCTCCCAGAGGACATCGAAGGGGACTTTGTGGTATTTGGCATCGTTGCGTCCAAGTCTGACCCCAGGGACAAGAAAGCTCCAGGAAACTCGTCGACTAAAGAACTGGACCCTTATGATGATGGACTTAGTAACACGAACAGATATATGGCCATTACCTTGACCGATCTGAAATGGACTATTGACCTCTTCCTTTTTGACACTGCTTTCCCCCGTTATTACAAAATCTCGGAAGGGACTCTCGTCGCAATTCTGAACCCAACAATCATGCCTCCTCCAAAGCACAAGCTGGACACAAACAGATTCAGCCTGTCCCTGTCCTCATCAGATGACAAAGTCCTCGAAATTGGCAAGGCACGGGATATCGGGTTTTGCAAGGCTGTAAGAAAAGATGGAAAGACCTGTCAATCCTGGATAGATGGTCGAAAGACCGAATTCTGTGACTTCCACGTTGATATCCAGATTCGGCGCACTCAGGGCCAACGCTCGGGGGTTAATGCTGACACGGGTATGCTTGGTCCTGATGGTAAATCCGGCTCGCGCACTGGATTGTATGGGGGAGCTAGGCGACCGGCTTCTTACAAGCAAGGCATGAAGTACGACGGTCCCCAGTATGACATGGGATCCCAATCGCTCTACTACGTTGCGCCCTCCAGAAACCGCGGAGGTCATACATCTTACAACCCCATGGGAGAGTCAGCAGCAAGCCTGATTGATGCACATAACGATGGCTTCGTCGGCTCAGGCATGTTGGGCCGCGGTATGGAGAACAAGGAGGAACGAATGCGCAGACGTCTTGCAACACAACAACGAGAGCGCGACATCACCCAAAAACTAGTTTCCGGCCGTGTCGGTGGCGTGGGTGCCGAGTACCTTCGCACAAGAACCGGCAACGAGAGTCCGAACAAAGAAAAAGCACCAGGCACCCCCTTGCTCAAGAGCCCCACGACAACCGGTATGGATATGGCTACCTTCGGCAAAGCAAAGAACGTCCGTTTAAGCCCAATGAAGCGTGCCCATGACAAGCCCCATGGTAGCGGGATTAAGAAGACGCGGTTCATCACTTCAAGGGGAATCAAGGAGGCTGGCCGGGAGAGTCTGGGCGCGCCAGCTGAGTCCACGCCCAGTAGGAGACAGATAATCTTGGATGATGACGACGATGATGATCTGGAGTTCATTTGACCAATACTATCACCTCAATCTTCCAGTCCCCCTTGATACCCATAACGCCATAACGAATACAAAGCATGTCCCGGTTGCATTGGGCGGATTTCCTTTTTTGTTGGACTTGTCGAGTAGAGTGGATATAACCTTTGTCATGAATCAATGTGATGATTAATGTATTTGTACCTCCATTATAGAGCCCATGAGGGGTTCCTCTCTTAGTTTACATGTACGAGTAGTGGACTTGTATCGGTATTTATCGCGGCTAGTGCCGAAAGCTTGTTTTGACTACTACCTAGGTAGTAGCCCTGGAGTGCACCTAGTCGCAACAGAGAAACGAGCTTTTCTACGGAATAAATCATAGCTACAGGCAAAGGTTTTCCAAATATCCAGAATTTCCATTGATTTGTTTCGCTTTTCGATGATTCCTCCCGTGATGACCAAAAACCGCTTCCCGCGGTGAATAAAACTTCAGAACACGCCTGTACCAAAAGGACCAAAAAAGAGACAAGAATACAGATGAAAAGACAAGAGAAAACGCCGTTATTCCGAAGATGGTTTCATGGTATCCTTAGTATTCGCACTTCCCAAACCCACGCATGCCATTGAAACGAAACGCAAAAAGCAAAAACGCAAGAAAAGCAAGAAAAGCAAAAGAAGCAAGAAGAAAAAACGTCCCAGCAACCTGCGCAAATTACAAGACGGCTGTCTTGGGAAGAAAGGAAGTCATTAGAAGAAAAGAAAACAAAGCATAAAAAGGGATGCGATGCGCATATTGGTGCAAGAAAGAAATTGACACACATCCAGTGCCAGATCCAGCATAACGCCAAATGAGAGAAAGGTGAAGATTGTCAAAGCGCTGGAATTATGCAAAATGGATGAAAAAGTGTGGTGACCCAGGGAACCTAGGAATCGGATGTAGATGGCTTAGCGGTCGAGCTCTCTCCAGAGGCTTCAGCGCGCACGGCCCGTCGAGTGCGTGGGGCAGGGCTACCACGGGCCTCACGGAGGCGCTTCACACGGTCGGCAGGAGCTTCGGGTCCTCGTGCCTTTCTGCTGACAGGCGGCCAGTACTTCAAGAGGCTGCTGCCACTGCTGGTGGAGAGACCTCGGGACCGAGTCTGGTCATCGGCGGGAGTGTCGAAACCAAGATCCTCGGAGAAAGAATCGGGCTGGAATGGCGGCACATTGCCCACAGTAGAGCGAGTGAAGTGGCGGCCAGTATGCTCGATGGGGGTAGAGCGAGTGAAGTGGAGACCAGCATGTTTGACGGGGGCAGATTGAGTGACGATGCCAGGATATCCGACGGGGGCACAGGGCGTGAAAGACAAGCTCTCAGATTCGGAGGTAGCTGGATCTGGCAAGATGGGAGGAGTCAGACGTGCCTCGTCTTCATTAGCTGGAGTTGGAGACATTGGCTCGTGGTCGTCGTGATCCTCCACATCGGTGACATCCTCCTCCCCACCATTGGTAGGCGCAACGTCGAGAGGGAACAATATACGAGGTTTGATGTCAGCACGTCTCAAAGGCTTCACGCTCTTAAGAATGTCAGGGTTATTGGCCAATAGATCGGGGCGGTTGGCGAAAAGGCCAAGGTCATCTTCATCCTCGCCCTCATCTTCTATGTCATCAAAGCGCTGGAAGATCTTCTTTCCGCGACTGAAATATAGGTTAAAATGTGTGATTCTGATGGGTAAGTGGTATTTGACTTACTGGACATAATAGACTCCTTCATTGGGTCTGGAGTTCGAACGAGTGGCAGGTCGAACGCCAGCTCTTGCAGGTCGAGGAATGATAGAATCGGTCGAAAGGGGACCGATCACAGGGATGCGATCACGTGAATCCTCATGAATAGGGATACCCAATTCTTGCTCTGCAGCTTGGATATTGTACCCTATCAAAGGTTCATCGACGAAAATTGCTGGGGAGTCTGTAGCGGAAGGTTTGGTGGTATCCATTTTTCTGCGCTTGGGTGTGGAAGTGGAAGGAAATAGAGAACGAGAGATGGAAGAATCAGAACTGACTACCTTCTTTTTTGAAGGAGTTTTAGCTGGGGTAGGTAAAGCCTGTTCTGCAGAGGAAGGGTTGTGCGAAGAAGTGCGGGGAAGCGAAAGTTCCGATTCAAAGGGGGAAATTCGGGAGGCAGCAGTTCTGTGAGAGCGTGCAGTCTTTCTGGATGAGGGTTTAGCCGTCCCAGGCGAAGAAGGTGAAAGATTCCTTTTAGATGCTCCAGGTTTGGCAGATGCATTTTGGTGACTTGGAGGTGGCGTAGTTTGGACAGCCCTTGACGCTCGTTGGACTGCAAGCCTAGCGGAGTAACGTGTAGGATAAGGCTCGTAGTTGTCATGCTTTGCCCCATGTCGCGGCGCTCTAGGTACCCGAAGCTCAGACGGTGAAGGAGGCGGTGGTGTGGACGCCATGTTGACTTGAATAGCGATTGAACAGCCGCTTGGCGATTTGAAGTAATTTGCGTGAAGGCGTAAATAATATACGAGTCACGGTTTATATCTCTGGTTTTTATTGCTTTCGTGATCTTAATAAAATATCGAGGAGGAGCGTTGGCTTAATCAAGGGCGTAACACGACCAACTCGTGAGATGTCCGACCAAAATGAGGGGATCAAACGGAGATATGAAAGTCCAAAAAAAAGATACTAAACGTAATCTTACGGATATCCAATTGTCCGAAGCGATGATAATATAAAGCGATAAGTTGGGGATGAAGGAAGGGTGAAGGTTGTTGTGAGAGACGATAATCACCCAGCCACCGGGTATCCTCACCGCCCGATAATTGCGGTGGCTGAAAACCCCCGCGTCAACAACGTTTGATTTCCTATTTCGATCTACCCCAATTCTTGTTTGATTATCTTGACGTCGATCTTGTTCTCACTCACTCGTCAATTGACCTTCAAACACTTTATACTGCGGATTAGTCTGAGACTAAACCCATTTGGGTCTCCAGTCTATAAAGATTGCTTGTACATACCTCGGCCGTTACTCTGCGCAAATTCAACAACATGGCTTTCCGCACTACAGCAGAAGAAATGGAGAGGCTTCAGCTATCCGATGATGACACAGAGGATATCTGGAACTCCCCATCCAGGAGAGCAACCCACAAAAAGATCAACCCAAAAACCTCTACCGAGAAAATTGCACCAGAAAATCGAGCTTCCCACGATGGTGACGATCCTCTGATAGATCACCAAGAGGCCCGCGAGGCTGCCCTCCGGACAGAATTACAAGGTGTGCGGAATATTAACGAAGTCATTGAAGGACTTCTGGCAAGTTTGGACTCCGCCAAAGGAAACATGGAGGTAATATGTCGTTCGCATAATTCATGGTCAATACTTTTAGCTAATAATCTGTGTAGACCGTCTCACAAACTGTTACGTCGGCCTCGACACTCCTCAACACCTGGACTCGCATTCTCTCCCAAACCGAGCATAATCAGCGATTGATCCTCAACCCCAAGTGGGAAGGCGCTACTCAAGATGTGATCGATATCGAGAACCAAGCGATTCAAAGACAGCAAGCGGCAGAAAGACGCGAGCAGGCGCTCCAGCAACAAAGAGAGGCAGCAGCGCGGAAAGCCGAGGAAATTGAAAGGCGACGCGCGCAGGTCACTCGGGGTACTCGGGGCACCACCCGCGGAACTACAAGGGGTACAGTGAGAAGTACTGGCCTAGGAAGAACGCCCAGTATCAGCACAACCCGCACGGCAACACGAGGGTCTACAACAACAACCCAGCGGTCAGTCAGCGGTATAGCACGGGGGAGTGGAATTTCTCGCGGTCGGGGGAAGGTTTAGATGGACTGGAATACTTTATGTACAATAAATCTTTAACTGAAGAAACAGAATGATATGATACCCTTACTTTAATATATTGTCGCCTGAGGCATCACATGGGCCGTTTACGCGCGTCGATCTGATAAGGATAAGGAGTTACCCCAATTTATTCCCCTGTCCCATTCCGTCATTCACCTTTCCAGGTACAACAACATAATGAACTTCGCACCGTATCAAGATCAATCACCAGAGATTGAGCGTGCCCTATCCCCCCCTCACCCAGATGGTCAGAGAATCTCCCCAATTCTCCGCTCACCGCGAGCCTCGGCAGACCTGCCCTCCCCCAGTTACTTCGCTGGCGGAAATGGCAACACGGGATCTGGGCGAGACCTGGAGGGTGGCCATGTGAGTCTAGGGGCTTTTGAAACAAGTCTTCCCATTCGTATGGATATCGAAGCAGCGCTCGCGTATCTGCTTCTACCTCCCGCGGGAGGTGTATTCCTGCTACTAGCTGAACACAAGAGCGACTATGTGCGGTATGTCATAGGCTTCGGAGTACTCAGTATTACTTGAATCCCAGTTTTCTGACTATTTACTATAGGTTCCATGCTTGGCAATCGAGCATGTTATTTGCTACCATGTTTGTGAGTATTCCATCTTTCCTAACATCACATTCGCTCACATGCCATATATAGATCATCCACCTACTGTTCTGCTGGTCGAGTTTCCTCTCCTGGACATTGTTTATTGTCGATGTTGTTTTAATTGGATTCCTCAGCATGCATGCTTATCAGGATGGTGAGTCTCCCAAGGTTTCTCTACGGGAGCTACCAAAAGAGCCGAGTGGCAAGGCTAATGGATCTGATACTAATCACATTATCTCTAGTTGATACTTTGGACCACTTTGAGGTCCCCTTTTTCGGCCATCTGGCCAACTCCTTTGTTGACGATGAATGAACTTGGTCTTTGGGAATTGCACGTACTTGAATTATTACCGCGAAGCGTGTCATTTCTTCATATACCCTTGTCTGTCAACACACCTGTTCTTTCCTTAATTGCTGGACAGGCTATACGTGGATTCTGTGAATAGTTCTCTTCATGTTTAGCTTTCTAGCGTTGTAAATTCCATAATTTCCACCGAATCATTTTACCCAGCCAAAGCCAATATCTGCAAAGTTCCAATCATGGCTAAATAAGTACAACATCATGAATGATGCTATTTATTGCCAGGTATCATAGAGTAGTCCATCACCTCCAAGAAGTTACATTATTTTGTGGCGGGTTGTTAGGAATAGGCGAAATTATTGATGGACCCTTCTTTTGGATTGTGATGGAAATAGAAAATCAGTGAAAGTAGTCATCATAATAATCTCCAGTTTTCGCTCGAAAGGTTTTGAGGTACACATATCAGAAACAGATTTCTAAATTTAGAGCAATCAAGGACACGTCATTTACTTCTCGATATTAAAGAAAACCACCTGCACGGTAATATCATCCCGTACCCGCCGAGAGAAAGGAGGATCAAAGGCAAGCCGGCCTGATATCATCTCATGGTGATTCCCACCAAGGGAGTTGCGCGTCAGATGCACTGCCGCATTATCATCTTGAGTTGTTGTTCTCTCCTCCACAAACTTCCAATTCACATCTTTCCAGAATCTGCCAAAATCAAATTGGCTTTCTGTTGGCTCTAGTTCACTCTTTGTCTCCCCGGTCCCTTGCTCCAGCCAGTTACCTACCAAGTCGACACCCTGTTTATTGGAGAGGTAATCCCATAGCCCATCCGTAGCGAGAATCAAGAACGAGGGTTTATTAGAATCGATCTTGGTACTTGTCACGACCGGCTCGGCAGTCAAGTATGGGGGTGTGCGAACATCGTACCGTGGCGTTAGGGGTGGTGGAACACTGAATTTCCGCTTCATTTCCTTCTGGAACTCCACAGGCCACTTCCACAGAATATCACCAAACGCTCGTGAGACCATGAGACCAAGAACCCGTCCGTCTTTGGCTATGTTTTCCTCGCCCGGGTGCTCCTTAGAAATGCGGGTGATCTCTTCTTCATTGCTGCCAGTTTGGTCTATTGACAGGGGAATTGCCTCCCACTTGCCGTCAGACCCTTTTTGTCCCAGAACCGCTCTTGAGTCGCCAGTACAGGCAACGTGCAACGTGCTTGTGGTAGGATCGTACAGGGATAGCAACGCACATGAACCAGCGTAAGCAGGGGCCAGTTTCTTAATCTTGTCCTGAAAGGATTCTTTGCTCGTAGATGTTTCCTGTGCAGTCTTGGCGATGGAGTCGTCAAGGTCCACAAATCCTTTCATGATAGCGCGCTGGACCGACTCATTTGGTACTGGCTCGTTTGAAAGTGGTTTAATTTCGGCCAATCTGCGTCGCACAAATGGCAGGAGATGCTTCGTCAACAGATCCGCTGTCTGCCAGCCTGAATGTCCATCAAAAACGGCCCAGGACATCCATTGATCATTCTCATTCCATGGCGAGGAAAGTTTGCCATGGATAAACCGATCCTCGCAAGGGCTGTTTGATGCCAATTGAGTGCCATCGTATCTAGTGATTCCAGAAATATTTCTGACCTGGAAGGAGTATGCTTCTTTCGATAGTATGCGTGTCACATCCTCTTTGGAGGGGCCCAGCTTAGGGGCCAAGTGCTCCGCTGATGAACTCTCGAGGAGGGGCACATCATCCTTTGTAGCGGTCAACCACCACAGGCCGGGCGTGGTGATCAGACCTGCAGTTGCAATGTAAATTTTTGAATTTGAAGAGAAAGACTTGATTGAGAAAGAACGTTTAGTATGTGTCCGTACAATGGAAGCGGTCACGCGCCCTATACGCGGTCGGGTGAGGCATGATAACATGGTCGCTTGTAGCTAGGAAGAAGGTGAAGCTGGTAAACTTTGAGATCACTCGAATATTACCCCAGGTCTCGTCAAGGCGGTAAGATCACAATACTCCTTGCTGTATTCGGACGGAAAGGGGTAAAGAGAACAGACCCGGGTAGCCCTATACGAGATAATTAGTCAGTAGTTAAAAAGCAATATATTTTCTAGGTAAAGACTATCAACTACTGCTTCATAATTATCAAAATTTTATTGTATACACCAGTTGAGAGTATTGCGGCACTCCAGCTTCCAAGGGTCAAGTTTATCGAGTCGAGCAACTTATCTATATCCTTCAATCCTTGAGGATATCCGGTGATCCGTGTCACATGCCAGGTCTATGCCAAAGAGAATGAGTGAATTTCAACTAAAATATCAAAAATGGAGAGAGAGAGAGAGACAAGAGGAAGAAGCAAGCAGTCAATCCCTAAGGATCAAAACTACATCATGAGCAAACAATCTAGAAGAAAACATCCTCTTCTTGATAAAGCAAATATATGAAATAAGTGAATCGTGACAATCTGACCTTTTTGGTCATAGGACCCATTAAAACGCATATGCTGCACAGAATGTAGCCTAATCCTCTTAGCTTGACTGGTGTGAGTGCGTTTTCTCTGCCATAGGCTGCCCATCGGAAGTCGTAGGCTGCTCTGCGCCAGTCACCTTGTCACCACAGGGCAAATTATTTTCTGCCTCTGTCTCCGGCTTTTTCTTAATGTTGATATTCGAGATACAGAGTGCAAACACCAATGAAAGAACATTGGCTGGGACGCCAATGATGAAAACGACAGACAGCGACTTGCTACAGGTACATATTAGATCATCATCCACAGTGATGGAAGCGAGCAGACTTACACATAGGCGCGTACGACATTAGGTAATAGTGCGTCTGGGACCGCCGCGCTATAAATCGACAGCGGCGACTGCAGTATCGTGGCGAAAGGCGCATCCGGCGCGTACTCGCGCAAATTGCGCACGAGTTGGGACGAGAAGGTGGTTTCAGCTATCGCAAGACCAATCGTACCACCGAGGAACTGCAAGATAGAAATCAATTATAAGCGGCAGACGCGAGCTATAAGTGTGATATGCGTACCTGGCAGAAGTTTACCATACCGGTCGCCTGACTTATTAGCTTTGGTGTGTCGTCGAACTCGGCCTGCATGGCAAACAGGATGTTCTGTAGCGTTATACCAATACAGAGCTGTTAAAGGAATTGTATCAGAGAGGCTATATTGAATATACAAGGAATTGCTTACGCCGACAAGAATTTGGTAGCCGATCACAGCTGCGTTCGAGGGCAATGCGGTCACAGTGTACATTAGTCCAGCACCGACGGCGCCGACCAGCGGTCCGCCAACTAAGTACGGCCAATAGCGGCCGTAGCGACCTGTTTTCGATAAGGTTTATTAGTTGTCCAGGAATAACGGGAAACATAACACATACCGACAAGTTGTCCAGACACCACAATCGATATGACGACGGACAGCATGAGCGGGAGTAGGTCCACGCCACTCTTCGTCGCAGAATGGTGGCGGCCTGCTTGGTAGTAGATGGCTGTATACTATGGTTAGCTGAAAGCGATTAGGGCCTGTGAAGCTGCACCACGACGCACGAATATACTATGGAAGGATGTCAGTTGCTGCCCCACGAGCGGGAGCGGGACGGAACCCACGTAGGTGAAGATCAAGTAGATAAAGCGGTTGAAGATGGCAAAGGAGCAGATCGAGTAAATGGAGAAGCTCTTGAATATTACCAACGGAACCATAGCCCGATCTCCCATATAGCGCTCCCAGAAGATGAATACTACTGTTAGTACGAGTGCAAGAACGAGACACTGGTACGATTCAGTCAGCAGGCTTCTGATGAGTTACACTCATAATACATACGACGATGACATCCGTGCTGTCCCATTCCTTTTCGTTCCCGCCCCATTGGAGGCCTAGAACGAGACTTGTGACGGCGCCCAGACTGAGCATAGCGCCAATCCAGTCCAAGGCAGCCGTGCTCCAAAACATGGACTTGAAAGAGCGATCATAGTCTTCGGATCCGAGCGGTGGTGGAGCGTCGAGGAGCCATATAATCGCTACAATAGCCACGCCACCCTAGGAAAATCTTAGCAAATGGCAACCAGCAACTGTGGCTGACCTACAATGGGCAAATTGATATAGAAACACCACCGCCAGGAGGCGTGGTCCGTGAGGGCGCCGCCTACAAGAGGTCTGATGGCATTAGCTGATCTGCGCAGTGAACGGAGAAACATATCCTGTTACCCAATGATGGAGGCACTAAAATACGATTAGCAGTTTATACGTTTACCAAAGCCGGCAAACCCCCATGAACGTACAATGCAAATACCGATTCAAATAGACTGAAAAGCATTGGTCGATCCTCTAATCGGGTAGCCTGGGCCATCACTTGGAGGATACCAGTGAGAATACCAGCAGCGCCAACGCCAGACAGCGCCCGCCCGCCGATAAGCGCATTGACATCCTGGGCGGCACCACACAAGGCAGAGCCAGCCTCAAAGATTAACACAGATGCTATAAGCACATATTTGGCTGGATGGAGGCGGAGGACTTGGGAGAAGAAGAGGATGAAGGTAGTCTGCGTAAGGACGAATGAGGCGGCGACCCAGCCTTGTTGGGAGAACTACCGAGAGGTGTATATAAGTCCACGAACAACAAATTTCTGTACATCACTTACCGCGTTAAAGTCTGATGCAATGCGTGGTAGAGCAGTTGATAGGATAGTCTGGTCCAGTGCGATTACTACCTCTTTCAGTCGTGCACTCAAAGGTTGGGCTCAGCAAACGTACATAGCAGGGCCAGTAACATTGCCCCAAACGCAATGGCCAATTTCTTGCCTGTCAACAGATGGGTCTCCATGCTTGCTGATATTGTAATTGCATTGTGTTGTCTACATAGTGTTCGGGGGCCAGGTACTAAGGACGACACGTGCTGGAAGGCTAATCCAGACTAAGTAAACCCCACATATCTCCGCAAACCCATATTTGACTCTTTTCCGCCAATTCCATCCGATATATCAGATCCACATCCCGAGTTCAGCCCCCCATATCTACTCGAGATTCTCCAGCAAGTGTGGCTTGGTGCTCTATCTCATTCGGTATGAGGCAAGCTCGGGCCACACCAACGAAGTGACCCCCAGTATAGGTACAAGCTAGAGGCACTTTTGCAATGTACCTGCATCTATAACGACAGCTCTAAATACTACCTCCAATTTAATTTAGGCCATTGCTATCGTGGTCTGCCTACTGCTTACACCATGGGAAGACACATTGCATTAAGGATAGCATCAATTAGAACAAAGCACGTCATACATACACGGCATAACAATTGAATGAGCGTCCAAAGACCAAAGCAAATGATGGAGAACGGAGCACAGAAGGGGAATATGAAAACGAAAAGACCATAAAGTGCTAAGGTCTTTCTTCATTGTCCGAAACTGCTCATCATACAATTTCGTTCGAACAGACCTCTGTCGACAAAGGAGAAAGTCAAGAAAAAAGAAAGAAATTCAAAGAAATTCACACAAAGGACATGTTAAGAAGCTCCCCAGAACACACACGCTAAAGTTTCCAAAAATCATCTGCAAGAACAGAATAGTGAGATTAAACAGGCTGTTCAACGATGTAAAGACGGGAAGATAGCACCATGTTGAGAATGAAAGAAAAAATAGTAGAGTAGAAAGAAATCGTCAATGTGCAAAGAAAGTCGACGAAAGGCATGGTATCTACGTGAGAACATGAACAAGAGCGTCACCGTCGGAACAAACGTTGCGAAGGTCGTGGCGGGTCGTGAGATCAATGGGGTATCAGATGATTTGCAGATAGTTGCTTGGCACAAGACCAGGATGGCCACGGGCGTTGGTGACTTCAGCTTCCCACCACCCGTCGTCCTGCAGGCGGATAACGGCAAGGACATCTCCTTTGCCAAAGCTGAGCTCTTCAGGGATGGCGGCATTGTAGGTGTACATGGCACGAGCTGTGACATTGAAATCAAGTTAGATACTAGCAATCTATTGCTAAAGAGGGGGAAATGCTTACCAAAGTGCAAGATTGGACGGCCATCACGGCTGAATTTGCGCCCAGGCTCTGCAACAGCCATAGTGCGGCTCCGGGATCGGCCAATAGGCGGCCCGTCACCATAAGTCGATGAAGGGCGGCTGCTTCCGCGAACCGAGCCGGCATATCCAGGACTGCTGGAACCATACATATCGTGGCTTCCGGATAACTGCAGCTCCATGCCACCCGAACTAGAAGGACGAGTTTGCTGCCTGAACTGGGGCTGCGGGGATACAGCACGGTGGCTCATAGCGGGCGAGGCCCTCCGAACAAAATCGTTCGGAGAGTAGGGCGGATCCTGAGTACGGCGGGGAGTGGGCGATTGGCTGTATTGGCTTCGCATGCTGTTAGACTGATAACTACTCGGGCTAGGGCTCGGACCCCTGCCACTGTTCTGGCTCATCCGAGTATCCACACGGGGAGAAGCAACCTGAGGCTGAGGGCTGACACTGCGTCTCGCTGCCGGTGCTGGGGACCTAGCTCGCGGGGCTTCTTGGGTTTGAGCGCTGTGTCTAGATCCCATGCTGCTATTTTGTCCTCGAAGCATGCTCTGGGTTTGACCAGTATACTTCTGGGTTGTCTTATGCATTTGCTTTGCTGTAAAGGCCGGCTGAGGTGCACCGAGTCGCTTGGCTGCGGGATCATTGTATGCAGGTGGAGGAGCAGCAACACTAGCATTACTACCACCATAGGTAGAAGAACGCGCCGACGGAGTAGGTGTGGAGATTCCATGATATCTATCTGCTGACACCCGAGTGGCTGACTGCTTCCCACTTGTTTTGAGGTCTGCCAGAGCCTGCGCAATAGGATCCAAGTCATCTTCGGGCGCCGGGTTTGGCTGTGATCCTTTGCTGGGCGAGCGATCCTCTGGGGATGCAACATCGAAGACATTATTCCCGACATTGAGCTGGAAATTTGCTCGAGGATCAACAGGTTCGGGGCTGTCAGAGACACGAGCCGGTGGGCCTGCTGGAGGCTTGACTGGGCTGGCTTGTTTGGTTGGGCTGGTTTGCTTTGTTGGGCTAGCCTGCGTGGGTGGGATAACTTGCTTGGGTGGGCTCGCTTGTTTAGGCGGGCTGACGATTTGCTTGGGCGGGCTCACTGGCTTAGTGGGGCTGATGACCTGTTTGGGTGGGCTCATTTGCTTCGTCGGACTGGTTTGCTTTGTCGGCGAGTCCCAGCCGCTACAAGACACGGAGTGGGGTGAAGCAACCGACTGCGGAGAGGTGACTTGTTGTGAAGAAATAACAGGTCTTTCTTTGTCATGGCGACTCTTGCGACGGAATGGGCTGTTGCTAAAGAAAGCGCTCTTCTTTTTCGGCGATTTATCATCTCCAGAAATTGGCATCGGTGCACTGTTTGTTGGCTTCACTACAGACTTCTTCGTGGGCGTTTCCTCAACACTAGAAATAGAGGTTGAGTTCGAAACTTCGCTCTGAGAGTCACGGCTAGACGGGCGATACGCGCTAGTTGCCGAGCTTCGCTCTGAGGGTGGCCCAGCGCGACAGAACATGGTCATACCATCTGTCGGGTATGCATTGTGGGGAACAGCACTGATTTCTCCGTGTTGCTCGGGATCATAGTTCGGAGGCGGCGCGCCACCACGGCGGAAGTCTAAAGGCGCGGGCTGCTGGGGTTGCGGCTGTCGCGGCGGTTGCTGCTGCAGGAGAGGCTGCTGTTGCATAAATGGCTCCTGCTGTAATGGTGGCGGTTGTTGCATAGGAGTCTGATGCTGCACTGGAGGCTGGTGCTGCAGAAGGGGTTGCGACTGCATGAATGGCGGCTGCTGCTGCTGCAATGGTGGCGGTTGTTGCATAAGAGGCTGCTGCTGCACTGGAGGTTGGTGCTGCATGAGAGGCTGCGGTTGCATGAATGGCGGCTGCTGCTGCAAGGGCGGCTGTTGCTGCTGCCGAGACGGCGTCACGTTGTTAACTACTGGAGCAGGATGTCCCATTTGAGCCGCAAGGTCTGACTGTGGGTCATGGTGTGAATCGAATGTTGAGGGCTGGGGAGAAGATGTCCGGAATGCTGGATTCATGGTGCGCTGGAACTGGGCAACCGAGTAGCCGTCTGCTTCATCTATCTCGGAGGACGAATCATCATCCTTGCAGAAGTTGATAAATCGGGGAGGATCTGGGATCTCTTGGCCAGTTCCTCGTTCCTTAATGAAGGAAATAATATCCTTCTCCACTTCACAGTTCTCCAAAGAGAGACGAACTTTCTCACATGACTATATGTCAAATTAGCATTGCAAATTGAACTCGGGAAGAATAAACATACGGCATCATCGCTGACACAAACAGTTGAAGCAATATTCGCATAAGTCCACAAACTGCTCTTTGTGAAGTCCAGACGCTCCTCTTCCAAATCTTGAAATTTGTCGCATGCTGACTTCCATTCCTTATTCCAGCGTCCAGTTGTCTCTTCGAGTTGCTTGACGGCTGCTTCGTATTCCTGGCTATTTGACGCCAGCTGGATCTGGGTCTTCTCCAGCTTGGCCTTATTCTTGCGCTCTTCCTGGCCCATGACCATGTGGCCCTGCGCGAGGTATCCTTTGATGCGGAGACAGTCCTGCTCGTAACGATCACGAGTCTGTAGAATTAGTATATTTCCTCACATCACTCCATGAAATTACTCACTTTATTGACAAGCTGTGTCTGTTGCATCTTAGTCTTGTGTAAGCGCTCAATGCACTGTTGAATGATCTTTCGTCGCTCCTTAATACCACTAGCGAAAGCAGCAAGTGGCTCCTCCAATTCGGTCTTCATTTGTCCCGCTATCGCTGCATGTGCCTTGGCGATCGCTTCGGTCTCGCCGCGAACCACATCGAGTGAGGCTCGGAGCGAACCTGTCTCGTTTGATCCCAGACTCTTGCGACACAGAGATTGGAGCTTGCGCGCGTATTCATCTTCAATAGAGGCTCGAACTATAAAGGTGTCAGACTGCAATGGTTCTATGGTCGCATGCATGCCACGTACTGTTGTAGAAAACCTTCAATTCGTCATTGGTAATTTTTGAACCATGCACGCGGTCCAACATTGGTTGAAGTCCTGCATCATCTTTGCCCCAAAAATTGTTGGCAACTAGAGAAATAGTCAGCACGTGCAACATTTCATTAGTGTAGTACCACATACAAGACATGGAGACCGTAGGTCCGTCTGCCACTGTCCCCGGCATTGTTATCGATGTTGAGCCTCGGCCAGCCTATGCGCATGCGAAGTGTGTTGAAATCAGAGGTACAAAGGTGGGGGGAAATAAGAACAATAACACTGTCGAAGAAAAAAAGTTAAGCAACAAAAGAGACCCTTGGAGGTCACAAAGTGAAGTTGAAGGTGAGCGGAGGGATGATGTTTACGGGCCGCGTCTCTCGGGGCAACCACCTGAGCGTGGACCGCGCGCCACGCACGTTACATAAGCTTTATGTATCGGAAATTATTTGTATTCTTGATCGGAGAATTAAATGTTTATCAGGAATATTGTCATAAAAATAGTTTCATTTTGTTCTCGGTCATGCAACCGTTCCATTCTATGTAAATCGGGGACCCGTTGAGTATTCAAATCCAGTCTATCTAGGCCAAGCAAACGCGAAAACAACCCATTCCCATATGCACAAAAAGTAAAAGACACATGAAGAATTGTAAGTTCGAAATCGCTTCCAGTAAAAACGCCAGTCAAATATGCATCCCCCAAACCATAACGGGGATAAATCAAGTCATTCGCTATCTCTTTGTTTTCGTTGTTGCAATCATATCGTGCCATAAATCAAGCATTTCATCAGTTCATGGAAAGTCTTGCTCGTATTCCTTTCGAGAAAGCTAAACCGAATGTCTCATGTTGTCTGTCTTAGTAGGCCACAGGAGTAGCCGACGCAGTGGCGGTGCTGGAGACAGGCGAAGAGACACTGGAAGAACCCCAAGTGCGGAAACCACGGGCCACAAGAGCAGGAGAGGCAGAAGGTGTGGCAACGGAGGAATCACAGGGGGCAGCAGAGTACCAGCCGTAGGGACCACGGGCCGCCAGAGGAGCAGCTGAAGTAGTGACGCTGGAGCTGGAGGGAGTGCCGGGGGCAGAAGAGTACCAACCACGGGCCACAAGGGAAGTCGCCGAGGAAGAGGGAGTGGCAGAAGAAGAGTACCAGCCACGAGCGACAAGGTGAGTGGCAGCAACGGAAGTGCTCAGGCTAGAAGAAGGCGACGCCAAAGAGGAAGAGTGCCAATCACCGAAGCCGCGAGCCACGAGGGAAGTAGGCGAAGCGGTAGGCGTGGCAACAGGAGTATTAGAAGCAGCAGAGTACCAGCCACGGGCATAGAGAGACGCAGAGGCAGAGGCAGAGCTAGAGTACTCGCGAGCAAAGAGAGCAGGCTGACCAGCGGCTCTCAGGCCCCGGCGAAAGAAAGAGGAAGAGCCAGGAGTTGGGGTCCCCAAGCACGGAGTAGAGCTAGCCACGGGAGTCGAGGAGTAGGCCACGCTCGAAGGAGTCTCAGTCACAGTCACAGTGATGGACGCTGGCTCGGCGCCAGGGGCAGTGACTGTGGAAATTTCGTAGACAGTGTCGACTTCACGTGCAACTGAGCTGGAGGAGGAGTCTCCATCGGCATTGACTACGGAGTAATTTGCACGGCGAGCGAGGTCTTCGTTCTCGGGATTGGCGACAGGCGCGGCATTGGTCACGCCGATAGAGCAAAGGGCGAACAGTGCAACAGAAGAGAAATGCATGATGACGGGGTAATTGAAGTGTGTAATGATTGTTGAAATGAAAAGGACGCTTAAAAAAGACGAAAATGTAAACAAGGCAATGGAGATATGTGTGATGTTAGGAGAGATGTTTGATTGAAGATAGAGAATTGAGAATGAAAGAGAAGGATTTGAGGATTCAATTTCGGGTTTAAAAGTCATACGAAAAAAGATCTACTATCACGGTGAAGTGTAATTCTATTGGGCCGAAAATAGGCGGCTGGGATCGACGGTGGCTGGGTTGGCGGCAGTCCAGCCATGGCTTTTCTGTCTTTAATTTATTTTTAATTGGCTTTGATCGATTTTGATTGGTTGGGACGATCTTCAAGATGTCTATACCCACATGGCACACCTGCCAACCACGACGTTCCAAGATTGTGGTGGGGTCGCCATGGCGACATTAAGTAAGCAATTGATGTGGCTGGGGGCTTTGGTTATCCACTCTAACACAGTTAATATAGCACATTTCGTTTCACTGTCGCCTAGTTTCTTTTCATAGATCAACTATGATGTCCTAATGACTTTAACCGACAGGATGATCCGAGAAGATCTTCTGTTTCACCAACACAGCCATCCTGATTTTGTTGTGGTAGCACTATAGGGCAAGATCTTCCACTCTCACTAATCCACACCCCAGCGCAGCGCTGGCCCACGCTGCACAAGGACGGTTGGGGTTCCACCCGAGGGCTGTGACGTGTGTATTCTCTTCGTAAATCGTAGATGTCCCCATCCCGCTGACGGGGTTGGTCTCGTATAGTTTGGAGGTTGCCAGTTTCTGGTTCTCTGCCCGGTATCCGTCATAAAATCGACTGGTTCCCACAGTATCCATCTTGGAGGTGGGAATCCATTCATGTGTGAACCATATCTGCTGCCATATCTGCTCCTTGTTGTAAACAACTCGTCGGAATGGATTCGTTCCTACGACCTCACCTGCGGCACTGCCGAACAGGGCACAGGGGTGATGATTACTGCATTGCGCCATGGCTGAGACGTTGCTGCTAAGCCGCGCAATGGTAGTGGTGGTAAAGAACCGCCGGATTGGAAGTATGCGCGCAAATTCGTTTTCATCCCCGCCAACAACGGACTGGCAGATGGGAGAAAAGCTGAGGTGGGGAGAGGCCCCTCGCACGCGGCCCGTCGAGGTAATTTCCCTGGTGGGATCGATGGCTGACCACATCTTTGTTTCGCCATCCATAGAGACAGTGATGATTAATTGGGGATGGGCCGGGTATGCCGATGTGATATCGAGTATGTAGGTGGCGTGGATTGGTCGATATGAATAAGGTAGAGGTTCAGACGTAAAGGAAGGCTCAATATTCCAGATAGCCACAAAACCGTTACCGCAACCCACCACAACATCACTAGGGGATAGCCACGTGACGCATGTGCAGACTGTTGCTGGCGGTCTTGCCTCGAACGCAGGCGATTTGATTTTCACTATATCTTGCACATTAGCGGGAATCATGAAAACCTCTCAAAGGGACACCCACAGAATTCTGTCTCCTGTGACTCTCTGCCTATTTTGATATCCAGAACTCTGATAGATCCGTCCCCCCAAACTGTGGCGAGTAAACCAATATATTCTTTTTCTTCTTCTTCGTCCTCCACTCGTCCAGTCCGGGGGAAAGGACACCATGCCATGCGTCTTAGGTCTCCCCAGTCAGCACACAAGACTTGTCGAAGCCGGGGCCTGGAGTCCATATCGAGAGTCATTGTAGCAGTCTCACTTGCTTTGCCTTTAAACTCCCAGATCTGCAGAGCGCTAGGGAAAGGCTCTGAGGGTTGAAACGATGAGATGGGCTCACTTTCTTCGGATCTGTGCTGATTTTTCTGATCATCAGTAATCGGCGCGGCCACAGCAAGATACTGAGCCAAACCATCCTGGTTTGGAGCCCAACCCATGCAATGTGCCTTTTGACCGATATTCAATATCCAACCTTGCCGAATCCTTTTGATCTCAGCTTTAGACCCAGCTTTAGACTCTTTTGGTTTGGAGCCTGATGCCTCCCAGGCTTTTCCAAAGTCAAAAGTCTCATGATAGCCCAGCTGGAATAGCTGTTGATTATCATGCGGCCCCAGTAAAATGCCATGTTTTCGCGTATCTTGTTGAGGCAGATAATTTTGGAATGCCAGTGACTTTTCAATCGTCTCAAACCGCTGTCTATTCCGGAACCTCTCACCAGTGTCCCGGTCGTAGTACCAGTCCCATCCACGTGTGCTTTCTTTCAGAACATCATCTGGGTGAACCCCAAATGTGCGCCCGTACAGATATTCAGGCTTCTTCTCTGTCTCCTCCAATGTGAAGCGAGATGGAAAGACGGCGTCTATACCCTTGTTCCATCGCATTCGGAAGTGAACGGCTGGCATCAGATCTCGGTCGTCGGGACCGAAAGTGAGATGATAGTAGGTGCCTTTGGACAAATGATCTCTGGGCTCGATGATGCCACGAATGTGTGTCTCATCGTCGGATGGTGCAACTGTGCCATCAACTCTTCGCTTCTTCAGGTTTGTATCATGTTGGTGTGACATTGAACGCCCTGAACGCGCTTTCCTAGGAGTAATCTCGATCCCGTCGATCTCCATTTCATCAGGGTCATAGGCACCAGCTTCTGATCCATATTCACCTTCTGGTTCTTCTTCGGGGTCATCTTCTAGGTCCTCTTCTTCGGCCTCTTCGCCTGAGCCAGCGACAAATTCATGATCTGAGGCTGAATCTTCTGCTTGGCCGCGTTTCTTTTTCCCCTTGGCAGGACTTTCCTTTTTGATAGAATCCTCATCATCACTAATCCCAGCTGCTTTGAATGGATCATCAACGTACACGGCCCTAGGACCTTTGAAGCGTCCAGACCTGCGGCCGGAAGGCATGTTGCTTAGATAGGTCGCGTCGTCAACAACAGCCAATAACTACAGCAGCGTGCATGCACAAAGTGTGTCAAGTTATTTGAACCTCAGTAATATGTTACTGAGTAAAGTAGCTGTGATCTTGTGCATTGAAACATCCGCTATCGAAATAGAGAAGCTTCAGCAATACAGGAAGATGAAGGGCGGTGACACTAGCCCCAATATGGCTAGCGTTTACGCCTTGTATCTCAGGCACCAACGCACCTAAATCAGCACTTTTCTTAACTAGTTAACCACTTCATACATCCCTCATTTTATTTTTAAAAATGAATTATTATCATGTTTCTAGCCTCACTTACCTGCTAGTTATGAGGTCATCAAAGATCAAAATTGAGGTCACTAAATAGTCCACTTTGCCAAAATCCCTTCCTGGTGTAACACCAGCCCCCTGGAGTATCCCATCATACCACCATTCCCCGACAATCTACTCTATAACTCCATCTCTATATCGTCTGGGGTGGTTTGTCAACCTATGCTCATACCACCTTCCAGCTCACAGACTTGGTGACCTCATATGCTACACACCAGTCATGGAAGTATTATGGCTTTTGTATCTTTTGGACTGAGTTTATATCAACGTCTGACAGCGCTAACTCAGTCCAGTAGCTGATATTTCCGCAGTTTAATCGTAGAAATGACATCTCTACGTAATTTCATTGCCATAATCACATGTTACAGACTGCGTCCAGCATGCTACAGCATGACTATTTCCGTAGATCTACCAGCAAAATGTGATATATCGACAAGTGATTGAGTGGAGTTAATGCACATGGTATGATATAATTACAACAGAGAATCAGAGTGGAGAGTGCCCTTTGTCCTAAAGCGATAGCCAATGTAAGCTCTCGCTATCATGCTATGAGCTCTCAGGAATCAGCTCCGAGAGTATCTCATCCATATGCCTATGGATTGTAAAGTGTGTATCGTCTTCAAACACTTTGAAGGATGGGCTGTTCGAAAGAAGTTTGACATAGTACTCCGTCATGGGCAGCGGCGAGTTCCAATCTTTCGCTGCATGCCAGATGTAAAGATTGTTGTAAGTAATGTCGCCGAATTCAATGTCCCAGTCTTGTGACAATAGCTTCGCCTCATATGCCGCAGGGCCAGCGCCCTGTGCAAACGGCTCAAATAACACACGCAGCAATTTAGCTCGCCGTTCCTCAACTGATTCCTCATGTTGATCCTGGTCCTTTAGTAAGTAGTCATTGACTCTCCGAGTTGCCATTTTCGTATTCAGCCCCTTTCTAAGCATCCATACCACAAAGTTCAACGAACCTCGTAGTCCAGCTGGCCAGTACTCTGCCGCTAGCATTGATGCACGATAGATCCAAGGCATATGATGAGCCCCAGCGCTCCAGTTGCCCGCCCCGGCGAATATACCGACTGCAGACATCATGTCTTGAGGTAGCCCCCGCGCGCATGCTAATGCATAGGGCCCACCACCAGAGCCACCCATAATCGCAAAACGGGAGAGGCCGAGATGGTGAGCCAGTGCTTGAACATCGGCGGGCCAGTCCATGATACGCCGGTCAGGTTGGACTGTGGAGAGGCCAAAGCCTGGTCGCTCAGGGGCAATCACACGAATTCCGCGTTGGTGAAAGATATGTTCTATGGCAGAGGCCTCAAGGCGACATTGGGGATAGCCATGCATGAACATTAGTGGAAACCCAGTTTCAGAGCCATATTCGGCATAGCCTAGGGTCCTCCCGTCCTTGAGCCGCATTGTTTGATCGACCCGCGAGCTTGTAGTTCCGATGTATCGACATTTTGTATTTGACAGTTTGCTTTTGGTAAATAAGCGTACTTTTGCGGTCGGCCTCATCGCAGAAAAATAAGTGAGATCTCACGTCTTGAGGGGCACAGGGGGTTGAATACGAGGTCAGCAAAAGGAAGGCTAAGCCTAAAACGTATAGTATAAGCCGCTATACAATGTATGTTGTATGTTGTACTTCATAGCAAGGACCATGAGCATAATCCGGTCGAAAATATAAACAAGTTTTTCAAGTTCATGAGATCAGAAAGTACCAATGTAGGGCAAACATCCATGGCCGACCCCGCCTGCAGATCGAATACGTCAACTGATGATCTCCCACCTTAATTCTTCCTCAACAACCACCACAGCTCTATCATGTCACCACACGCTGCTCGCGGGCCGTCGCATAATGGCGTCCTCCATGAATATGTATATACTACGCTACCCATTCTCTATGCCAAGCTAACTAATTCCCGCAGGCTCCCAGACTTGTGGCCTTCGAGTTCACCCCACCAGTAGAGGGGATTAACAAAACAAACAGCCTTATCTTCGTAGGCGGGCTGACAGATGGATTCTGTACTGTTCCCTATGTGTCCAAGCTAGCGGAAGCTCTGGAAAACACCGAATGGTCGGTCTTTTCTGTCCTACTCTCTTCCTCCTATGCCGGATGGGGAGTCGGAAGTCTTGATCGCGATGTAGAAGAACTTGGCCAATGTGTGCGTTTCATTCGCGATCTGAAGGCGTCACGCCAACCCGGTGCACTGTCAAAAGCCGCAAAGATTGTGATCATGGGCCATTCGACGGGAAGTCAGGATGTGCTCCACTACCTTTATTCGCCGAACCCCGTGCCGCAGAAGGAGTTTGATCTTGGCCTTCAGCACATAGTCCGCCCTGAGCTCGATGGTGCTATTCTCCAAGCGCCCGCCTCCGATAGAGAGGGTCTGCAGTCTATTATCAATTCCTCTGAGACTCCAGACGAGCTTAGAAAGGTCTACGATCAACTTGTGGGCTTTGCCAATGAGCAAACATACACACCAGACAAAAAGGACACAATTCTCCCAATGAACCTGACTGCGAAGCTTTCTTATCCGCCCGACACGCCTCTCAGTGCCCGGAGGTTCTTGAGTCTGGTCAGCCCTAAGAGCCCGGACGACCCATCTGATGACGATCTCTTCAGCTCCGATTTGAGTGATGAGCGTTTGCAAAAGACCTTTGGGATGGTGGGTACCCAGGGCATGATCAAATCAAAGCTATTGTGCTTATATTCGGGCGAAGATGAGTATTGCCCGCATTGGGTGGACAAGGAAAAGCTGCTGCAGAGATGGCAGCAGGCCATCGATGCGGGAGGCGCCCAGTGGGATGCGGAGAACAGCGGAGTTATTCCTGGAGCTAGCCACAATGTTCATGGCGAAGGTCAGCAGGACCTCATTGATCGAGTTCTACGATACCTCCAGACCCTCTGAGCGCTGGAGGTTGATGGTATTGAAGTATAAAAATCACATAGAAAAATAGAAATCCAGAAGACAAGGGAAAGTTGAATTGATATCGACAATAAATAGGTCATTCAAACACCACCCAAAAGTGCATGGATTCGGAAAAGCGGAGGTCAGAAAGGGGTATATCACAGCACGGGCAGTAGGCAAGTCCAGACATGCTGGACTTGAGGCAAAGATGAATCGTAGCATTGGGGCACCAAAGTCTCTATGGCAAGCCCCGATTTATACCTTCACCCACAAGCTCAACACGCCCTTGAGGTACTCGACAATCTCGGATCCACCCAGCTTGCTCTCGCCGTACAGACGGTCGACGAAGGTAATCGGACACTCAGACACCTTGTAACCCATTGCCTTAGCACGGACCATCATCTCCATCTGGAAGCTGTAGCCTTTGCTCTCGGTCTTGAGGATAACCTTTTCCAGCACCGACTTCTTGTACAGTCGGAAGCTTCCAGTCAAGTCACTTACACCGGGCATCAGCATGACGTCCGCGATGAGGTTGGCAGTGCGCGAAGTGAATTTCCGGAACAAGTCCCAGCCGTAGACGCCACCTTTGATATCTCCGCGGTTGGCATATCGGGTTCCGGTCACAATGTCGGCGTCGGTCTCCTCTTGAATTCGGATCATCTCAGGGATGAACTTGGGGTGGTGGCTGAAATCGGCGTCCATGATGATAACAAAGTTGCCGGTGGTATATTTCAAGCCATGGACGTAAGCTGTACCCAGGCCAAGCTTTCCCTGGCGGGGCTTGAGGACGATGTGTTCGGCGCCATAGAGTTTCTGGAGCTGCTTCGCGATCTCGAGGGTACCGTCAGGGGATCCGTCGTCAACGATAATAACCTCCCAATCCAGCTTCCTATAATTCAAAAAAAAAAAAACAGATTTTAGCCCTAGCAATTTTTAGTTATACTAGTATAAGAGCATACTGTTCATTGAAAGTCCTCTGGATCAGCCAGATGATGATAGGGAGGTTCCTCCGCTCATTGTAAGTGGGAAGAATGACGGAGTACTTGTTCTTGGCGGCACCCATTTTGAAACCCACAAGTCAATTAATAAAGTAAGGAGTGGTAAAAGATCGGAGTGAATATCACATATAAAAAAAGAGAAAAGAAACGAGTAGGGACCGTATGGCTGACAGCTTGTTGCATTCGGCAACGCCAGATCGCGGCCAAGTCGCCAGATCCGGCATCCACCGCCCTGGCAGAATCCGATAGCTTATCGGGTGTTTTGCTTCGACTTCAATGGGAATACTTCCAACGTCACTCTACTCTTCATTCTAATTGATCTCTAAAATACTTCAAATGCTGTAGAGATGAATTCACTACCAGATAAACACATTCGGAATGTCTCCAGGTGTAAGCGCTCACTTCGTTGCCTTCACACTTCGACTGTCCCTTACTGATTCCTATGCAGCTTCTCGGCCCCGCAGCTCGACAAGAGGTCCTCTAGATGCATCTGATGAGTGAGCATTGTATCTTGCCCTCCACCGCTATGTCTTTATACTTACATGATTTAGCCCTCTCGCTCTCCATGAAACACCCACCTCGCCTATCAAACACAAATCAATGCTTGCTGCCAACGACACCATTTCTGGGGCATCCTTCTATGAGTTAGATCCGCTTGCACCAGAAGATCTACCTGAAAATATAGAAAAAGACCTCTCGTTTTTACTCCGGCATAACAACTTCCATACACTCTCTCATCTTGACATCCCTCCGCCACTACGATCCGAATTCCTTATCCTCAACCCAGGAGAACCTCTATCAACTTCTCTAGGTATCCTCGAAAAGCTATTGGCTGAGGGTCGATTCCTTATTGCGGCGCATTTTTCTGCTTCAATCTTGACCTCATCTTTAATATCTCCGACAGAGATAAAGATCATCTTCTCTCTTTTCTACACGCGCTTAGCCTGCTTGGATCTGTCGGGCAATACTGTTCTCGCCGCACAGGAATCCAAAGCCCTGGAAGATCTGAGCTCGGCATTTTATTACATCGATCTCAAGCCCAATCCGGGTGTAGTTGATGATAAACAGCCAGAACAAGAACATGAACAAGACCTTCGTCATATTGCTCCATGGCCGCTTCGTGTGCTGGCCGTGAGACTCCAGAGTATAGGCTTTGGTGATTCTCGCCGAAGCATCGGTGGTTTGTACGAGATCGGCCAGGAAGCGCGCCGAGAGATCATGAGAAACGAAGCTACTGAAACTGAACGAGAATTATGGAAACAGAGATTGGCAGATCTTGGGGTTAGGAGCGTGAATGCGCTTATAGAGATGGGTGATTTCGATGCAGCCAGGAGATCACTTGATAGTCTGCGCGTACCTGGGCCGGAGTCAAACATCACAAAGTTGAGGAAAGCACTTTTGCTTTTGCGGATTGGTGATCTAGACGCGGCAAGTCAGGTATTTGGTGACGCTAATGAAACCAAAGAGGCTGCTTTACTGAAGCCCCTGATAAGCATGTCGGATGGTCGCTTTGCCGATGCAGTGTCTGAGTGGCGCATTCTTGGGGAGGATAGGACCAGGACAGATGGAGCCCTAGTCGCTCAAAATCTGGCTGTGTGTCTTCTATACATTGGAAAACTGGATGAGGTATTTGATCACTATATCACATACATCTGTTTGAAGGGTGAATTGAAAATATTGACTAATTCTTTGTTCCTAGTCTCGTCAGATCCTTGAGGCCCAGGTCTCGTCCAACCATTCGTTTGGCAGTTTGATATTCAATCTGTCGACGGTCTACGAGCTTTGTACCGACAGCGCAACTCACATGAAGGGACAGCTAGCTGATATGCTATCAAAGCAACCTGCTATCGGACATACAAATTTGGATCGGCCAAACTCAGACCTCAAATTATAACGCTTTGAATTGAAAACCACTTCGCCCTGGGGGCCATTGAATTCAATCTGTCTGCACACGATCTAAAAATTAATTAATACTCCTTGAATGATACCCCGTCTGCTAATGATACGACGTTTTCCCAACCAACGCCATGCAATGAAATCAACGCCACTGAATGCTCGTGTCAAGGAGAGTCTAGCCCACCATGTACTCATACACTCGGCGCACTTGGCTCCGGCTTGGGAGGGGCTCTTTGCTTAATTCGCTTGATGATAACCCTATCACCTTCCCGCTCCCAGCCCAGCTTCTCTTGTTCAACCAATTTCTCCCATGTCCAACTCTGTTCGTCTCCTGTGCAGCCACCCAAAACCCAGCTAATGTGCACGCTGAGATAGGCACTGCCCACGGCCTTGAGGGCGTGCCTGCGGACTCGATCTGCAGCCCAGTTCATCACTGCACGAATGTGAGAATCCACGCTGTTGTATAACTGCCAAAATACCACCCAATTATCGTGCATTAAGGCAGTCAAAACTTTATCCACTGTCTGTGACTGATAGGAATATTCTTTCCGCGCCCGGGAACGCAATTCAAATGCCGCAATCATATCTCCTTGTCGACAAGCATAATCGAGAATCAAGTATGTGACTAGTTCCTTGGCTTCAGCGCCGGGAAGTGGGTGAGATGTGTTGTGTAGTTTATCCAGAACGTATCGTAGAGAGGGGAAGTATGACGGTGGATGATGCGCGAGAATAGATAAGCGAATGGAAAAGACATGAATCCGCTGTGAGAATTCTGCTGGTGTAGCTGTGGCTGTCGCCAGAACGGCTTCACGCAGCTTCCGAAGAGAGAGAAGGAGTGTGGATAGCTCTGTTGATGGTGGCGGGATACCCTTCTGTGCGGGGTTTAATTTCAAGGGTGACCGGGAAGCGGGCGGATTGGAAGTCGCATCGTTTGAGGAACTTGTTGGAAGAGAATTCAATGCTGCATCGAGGTCTTTTGAGTGATGGGCACAAAATCGCATGTATCGATCGACTATGTTATCGAAGTACTGTGTCTGAATCTTATGATCCAACAGTCTGCGAATGTTAGCACAGCATTCGGGAGAGTGCATATCTCAAACGCACTTCTTATCCCCCTTTGAAACGAATCCGACATTTTCCAAAGAGTCGGATATTGGGCGTAAACGACTCATCTTTTCCATGTGTTGACATGTGTTGTCATAGTAGATCGACTGTCATTGGAGTTGATATAATGTTTGTCTTGTTTGTTTCCTTCCACGCCGAGGCTTTCCCAACACGGCGATTTCCCTACATTGCCCCAACTACCCAACAGCTGGAATTTCTCCCGTTCATTTTTATATTTATTTCTGCTTTTTCCTTAATTTTCGTTTTTTTCTAAAGATTTTATCTGCTGACTTGCCTTGCATATACTATTGGTCAACTTCAAAACATTCTGTAACTCATTGCATACTTGCATATCACATGTGATTATGCCTCGCCAGCGTCGCCCTATAGAAGATCAAAAAGTGTCGAGTCAGCCTACGGGGATGAATGCTGTCGGGGAGGAGGCTCACAAGTTGGTAAAGAGACTTGTTCATTGGGATGATCTACCTCACTGGCAACGCGACAACCATCACATCCTCACTGGATATCGGCCCGCCTCGTCCTCATTTTTAAGTTCATTTCAATCACTGGGTTACGTTCACAATGAGACCGTCAACATCTACACCCACCTCTTACCAGCAATGATTTCTGTCCCCGCTGCATACTGGCTCTACCACTTACTTTCTCCGCGGTACCGGGATGCGGCCGATTCTGATATCATCGCTTTTTCTTGTTTCTTCGCGGGGGCTGCCTTCTGTCTTGGCATGTCCGCAACCTATCACACCATCTCAAACCATTCACCTGTGGTTGCACGCATTGGAAATTCCCTCGACTATATCGGTATCGTGGGACTCATTGTGGGAAGCTTTGTACCTAGTGTCTTCTACGGATTTTACTGTGTACCCGATCTGCAGCACAGGTACTGGACCATGATCTGTACCATTGGACTAGGCTGCGTGATTGTATCCGCTTCTCCCCGGTTCCGCACCCCTCGTTGGCGGCCTTTCCGCGCCACCATGTTTGTTGGGATGGGCTTGTCTGCTATCTTCCCCGTACTCCATGGGGTTTCCATCTTCGGACTTGACCGCATGAGACAACAGATTGGTCTAAACTGGCTCGTTTTCCAGGGCTTCTTGTATATCCTTGGAGCCGGGATCTATGCGGCCCGAGTACCTGAACGACTCATGCCCGGGAAATTCGACATTGTGGGGAGTTCGCATCAAATCTTCCACGTGCTAGTGGTCTGCGCAGCAGTAGCTCACCTGACAGGGTTGCTGAAGGCATTCGATTATCGGCACAGCGGGGTTGCCGAGACCTGTCAGATTCCACGCGGCTGAGTTGGGGTCTGGAGCAACACAAGAGGTTAGACAACATGCTCATGGCAATTTTTTTAAGAAAAAAGAGGTAGCATGGAAATGTTCATGTAGCGTAGGTGGCGCGGCTTATGTTCAAGAATCTCTCAATGGTCAAAGGTCCCCCTGCTGACGATGACTCGAATTAGTATGTGCAACAATGACACAATGAGAAAGAAATGAAGCGGTGAGCACATAATTCTCTTACATGGACTAGATCTGGTCAGCCGATTAAAAAAAAAATAGACCATTTTGCTTCTGTTTCACATGGTTCCTAGCGTTGTCCGTTCGTGTACTTGTGTGCCATTGAGAGAGTAGTAGGGCCCGGGACCAACAGCCCTTGTTAGCAAAAGGTCTTTTTTCCAATAAAGCAGAAACTTAACCCCGAAATTGGCGTTTATGATGTTGCATCAGGGTGTGACGACTACCAACAAAAGGACCCCTGTTTCTCTGGACCTTCATATCACGAGCATTGTTCGAAAATAGTGAACGCTGTTAAAGCAACTTTCCTCTTACCAGATCAGGTCGGATCAAACTTAATGAATGAGGGAAGATGTCTCCTTTTTAACCTCAAAATAAACGGTTTCCAGTTTCCCATGCATGGTTGATCATATGGAACTGGGGTTTCACAGCGGCTGACCTCCCCAGGGCTGCGGCTGCGGTACTTTGACAGAGTGACATTTCTACTCCTTGAGAAGCTTGAGCTTGTTTTGATATTGTGTGGGGGGAAGGCCTTATTGGATATGTGCGGTTGTATTCATTTCTATTTCTAATTTCCCTCTTTTCTTTTTCCCCCTTTTTCTTTCCATATCCCATATATCACCGGACCCCAGGCTATAGTATTATCATTGATATCGTATTGGGCCTACTAGCTTCTTTCGTATTTCCCCCTCCCTCCTTATCTACAACTAGCAACATACAATGCTTGGAGAATCCAATGGCAGTCCATATGCCGGCGGAGATACACCCAAACTCCGAACTGCGTGTGAAAACTGCAGGCAATCTAAGGTGAAATGCAACCTATCTGGCAAGAGTGTTTGTACTCGTTGTCTACGTCACGGCCTACAGTGTCAATACGGATTTGCAAATCGATCTGGTAAACCAAAGGGTAGCAAAAACAGAGCTACCCTTCGCAAATTAGGCCAGTTGCAAGAAGAGAAGCCCACAATGCGTGGGTTCCGCAGTAGTCGGCTCGTTGCCCCTGTGGCCGACATGGAACCGCTAGTTGGGAATAGCTACGGCAATATCCCAGACCCAGCAATTGACAACGATGTAAGTTTTCCCTTCTGTTTACCAATTTGACATCTTTTTAATAAATTGTCGTCCTATAGGTCTGCTTGATATCAAATCAGCCAGGCTTCTGGGAAAGTCCCCGAAGCTTCGGCAACACAACAACCCTAGAATCATCTGTCTGTCCGGGACAGTTGACGACAGTCGAGAGCTCCCCATTCACAGATCTCGTGGACCCATGTCCCACCCTCCCAGCCGGTCTGGGATATCCACATACGCCCGTCACGCCGACATTTCTGTCCGGAGAACTGGCTGACGGAATGGGCAGTCCATCTCTAGGTGGTTCGGTGGCTTCGCCATATCCAATTTCTCCATGCGAGTGTGTGGATATGCAGCTATTTCACATGAACCGGTTGAACCACCTACTCGCTGGATCAATGCCCCTGCGACTCGACCACAGCCTGCAGACAATCAAATGCACATTTTGCGCCTGTCAGGTGTTCCTGCAGTGTACTAAATGTGCTAAAGACAGCACGAACCTGTTGCTGACGATCTCGGTACTCAATCTTACCCTTCAGCTCTTTGAGTACTGGGTTTCGCGGGAGACGTCTCGCGCCCCACGGCCAGAACATGGGGTCGATATCCGCTACGGATACTATGAGATATGTCACGAGGAAAATAGGCAGATACGCAATTTCCTGCTCCGGGGTCTGTTGCTACAGTGTCGGGATGTATTGCTAGCTCTGAAGAGCACCGCTAGTGCGGCCGACATTCAAATTCCCAAGTTGGGCGACCAGGAAGGCTCAGAGCCGAAATTATCAGATGATCATGCCAGTCAGAATTGGGCTACTTCAGAGCATGTCGGCTTACTTTCCGACTTGGATGCTGGTATTCTAAGCGGTACACCCAGAAGTGAAGGCCTGCTTCCTATCATTGCAGGCTATGAAGCTACTCTCTCGGCATTTTTACAGTCGACTTCGTGGGGGGAGTGTATCTGTGGATCTGGACGAGTGATGCATGATGAGTCTCTTTGAATTATACCCACATATGGGAGGTCAACTGTTTTAAGTGTATAAGGAGGAATGTAGAAAGCCAGGACAAGCTGGACAGTAAACGCAGGTCGGCTATAACAGAAAATCGAAAAACATATCGGCTATATTAAAGCAATAAATTGTGTTATAAACCCCATCTCTATGTTGTATGCTCTATGTTGTATGTGCCGTATAACCCCAGTAACCCCACAATCTCGGTCCGCGGCGGGCCTCGGTCCAAGAGCCGAGAGGTATAAGACCTTTCCCCTCTTGAAACTTGAAGCTAAGGACTTACACATATTCAATTTCCAAAATGGCTCCCTCCGACCGTCTCAATCAGGTCAATGAACACCTCAACTACCCAGCCGGTCTACTAGCAGGTCAAGTCGCCATAATCACCGGCGCAGGCCAAGGCATCGGCGCCGAAGCAGCCCGACTCTTCGCCAACGAAGGCGCAAAAGTTGTAGTCGCCGATATTGATGCCGGTAAGCCATACTTACTCATTCTATCCCTTACCGTATCTAATTAAAAAAAAAAAACAGCGAAAGCCAACTCCGTCGCCGACGGAATCAACGCTGCAAAGCCCGGCCGAGCCCTCGCCGTCGTCGGCGACGTCCTCGACAGCAACTATATAACCGACCTCGTAAAGAAAACCGCCGAGTTCGGCAACGGCAAGATCCACATTATCGTGAACAATGCCGGGTTCACGTGGGATGGCGTTATTCACAAAGTACGCGATCTTAATATACCAACATTCAAACTAGCAATGCACTAACCCAATTCCAGATGACAGACAAGCAATGGGAAACCATGCTAGCGGTCCATAATACAGCCCCGTTCCAGCTTGTGCGCGCTGCAGCTCCGTATTTCCGCGTGAAGGATAAGGAGCCGCGCGTTGTGATCAACATCAGCAGTACAAGCGGCATCCACGGTAATGCGTAAGTACCCGAGACTCCACTCCAACCATTTGCCCAACAAAATGCTAAAAGCAGAATAGTGGACAAGCCAATTATGCAGTTGCGAAGGCTGGTGTCGTCGGGCTGACACGTACGATTGCGAAAGAATGGGGACCGGCGTTCGGGGTGCGGTCGAATACTATTGCGTTTGGGTTTGTGACGACGCGTTTGACGGCTGCCAAGGAAGGAGGTGCTTTTATTACCACGCCTGATGGGACGAAGGTTCCGTTGGGAATTCCTGGGAAGCAGCTTACGGTTAAGACGGGCGCTGCAGTGGAGGGTAAGAAGGAGGCTGTTGCTTATCCTGATATTCCGCTGGGTAGGCCTGCGTCGCCTGTTGAGGCTGCAAGGGCGATTGTGGGTGTTGCGTCGCCTTGGTTCTCTTATGTTAATGGGGAGACGATTCGGGTTACTGGTGGGCGGAATATGTAGATTCTGTATTTAATTATATTCTAGTTTGAGCTAGGTATATATATATATATATATGTGAAATGGATTTGTTGAATGGTACTCTATATATATTTACATAACTTATTGAAAGTGCAAATATATATCTCCTAGTTAAGATGCTGGATGAATGTCACCCTACTATATATATATCCGTTAACCACGAGCTGTACAAGGTTGGTACTGTAAAACTTCATCTCACTTTAGACCCATCTACCATCAACTCGGAATTGATTCCACTTAGGCAGCAGTTTCACAGCTCACACGAGACACAAAACATCCCATGCTCGAGTCTCGGCCGTAGACAGTGCAACGTTGTACAACAGGGTTTGGAAAACGGTTTAGGAGATTGAAGTAGAAAATGTAGTGTAGAATTGTACACCGAGGTATCATATCGTGAAAAAGGGAACAAGTCCCGAAATGTCCCGCCAATGCGAAAGTCTATGCACAGAAGATCACCCTTAGGTCAAAAATAAACAAAAAGCCTCTCCCAAAAGATAAACAGAGAAAATGAAAGACACTCCCGTGCGTCAACGCCAACTTGAAATGTCCAAATACATCCAAAATAATAACCCCGTATTTCATCAGCCCGCCCAGGGGCGTATCTTCAAATCATGCTTCCCAGTGTATTATCACGCCAGAAAATAGAAACGTAAACAAAAGAACCCTCCAGGTATGTGTGGAAATATTAAAACAGTAAGAAAAGGAGATCCGGTCGCAAGGGAGACACAGGACTGTGGTCAAACGGTCCATGCAAGGTCATAGTCGTAAAGCCAGGGAAATGTGGTCCAGGGGAGAAAAAGAGTAAAGAATTATGTCCAAAGGGAAAAGAAAGCTGGCCGAGTCCAGTGGATCATGATCAACGCGATCAACTTTTTTGTTCGGCAGCTTGGAAAAGAGTTCGCTCGGTGGCGGAGAGTAAGGGACCCGGTGTATATGCAAAGGGAGAGCCCCGGAAAGAGATCAAGTAATAGAAAGGTGAAGAGAAGAACGTCAGGTCATGCAGCTGCGAAGCAAGGAGCAATTAGACGGGGATCTCAAGGCCCTGTAGGTTGGGGTAATTGAGGCCATAAGCAAAGGGATCAGCGGGGAAGAAGGGCTCCGCGCAGACAGAAGGGAACATAGCCTTGCAATCGGGGACCTGCTCCGAGACTGCAGGCGACATGGTATCGATATCCGAGTAATCCTCGGTAATGGCCGAACCGTCGGAAGCAGCAGACTGGGAGAAGGCCGAGTATTGCGCGGAGTCCAATGACGAGCCAGATGTCTGGGCATATAGAGGTTCCACAGGGGCCATGAACATTGGCATCTGGGGCTGGGGAATGTAGTCGATCTGTTCCGGCACCCAAGGAGTTTGAACCATGGGATTCTCCGTGAAACGGGGGCACTCCAGGATAAGCTGGCGCAGCTCCGGGATGGAGATCCGCTTAATTGGGTCAAGCTCGAAGACGCGGCTCAGTATACTAACCATCTCGGAGGAGAGAGGCAAAATAGTCTTCAAGAAGAAAGGGTCCTTGAGGTAAGCCTGGAATGTGGAATCCTCGATCGAGGCACGTTTCCATGGGTTGCGACCGCAAGTTAGATTGACAAGAATCACGCCCAGACTCCAGACGTCGTTGGCAGCGGACATATAGCAAGACAAAGGTCGGGCGTTGGATTGTTGGCATTCTATTAACATGTCATGTTAGCCACATAGCCGTGGACAGAAAGGGTAATTGAAGACATACCAGGTGACATATAGAAGGTGGAACCACATCCAAAGTCGGTCGTATAATAATCAGTCGTCGCCAGGCCAAAATCGGCAAGTTTGACGGTCATTCCATTTTCGGTCACGAGTACATTCTCAGGTTTGAGATCCCGGTGATAGATTCCAAGAGAATGGCAGAATTGTACGGCGTCCAGGATTTGGAGGAACACACGCTTGGCCAAGAAGTCATTCCCGACAAAGTTTCCCTTATCGGTGATGTTAGAGAACAGGTCTCCTTCTGGGCAATACTCCATAACGACATAGGTACAATCCACGGAATCCATGATGCGGACTAATGGAACCACATTGCGGTGTTGGCTGGCCAGGTGATGGAGTCTAATCTCACGCTGTTGGAATTTGAGTTGACGGGCATCCAGACCATCCTTGCAGAGAACTTTGACGGCATAGACCTCGTTGGTGTGAATATCCACAGCGGTGTAAACAACGCCATAGGCTCCGACACCCAAGACACTGGTGAGTTCCAACCGGTTGGCTAATACGAGTCCTAGACGATCCTGCGGAGCACAACGGCGTGGAGCCGGTGATGGTGGTGGTGTTGGTAGCATGGCCGGGTACATTGTCCTTGGAATGTTGTGTAGAGTGGATCCAGTTGGTCCTCTCCAGGAGATAAGGAAAGGGAGAGTGAGAGAGAGAGAGAGAGAGAGATCGCAAGTTCCAGGGAGATTATAAGATAGTGCCTAAATCCACGGATATTCAAAAGGCATCCATTCCAATCCAAAGGTTTCAAGATGGTCCGATCTAGATCCGTTTGGTCCGGTCTGGTTGTGTTTGATAGAAGTCGAGAGAAGGAGAGTCGCACAAGGAACCAGAACAACAAAAAACAAAAACAAATTAAACAGTTGAGAGTAAAAAAGGGTTTTTGGGGAAATATACAAAAAAAGTTGAAGTAGGAGAAGGAAGATTATTATAGAAAGGATATCAGGCAGATGGTCGCCTCGTGGTTCGAGAGAATAATAAAACCAAGTGGGAAATGGCGCTAGTAAAAAAAGGAAAATTATATTAAAATCCCAAAAGGGGAAAGATCGAATGGAAATCTAAAAAAGTAAAAAAAGAAAAAAAAAAGAAAAAATCCTAAAAATCTATGATGCGTACAAAATTGACCAAGGAAGACCAAAACAGACCAAAAAAAGACACTAAAATTAAATAATATAAAATTATAAATCATAATAAACCATGTGTACCGAAGCGGTGTGCATGCCCGAGTGTGGTTAGACCAATCATTATGACTCGGTCTGTCTTTCCTGCATACGCCACAACCGATGATTGGATGGGGTCAATAACGATCGACTGGAAACTGCAGCTCCTATTTTTTTTTCTCATTTTTCTTTTTTTATTTCTACTCTTCTAGGCTTAGTGTGGCAATGCCTTCTGTCCACGTATCCCCCCTGTCTCCCCCAACGGTGTTTTTTCTCCCTTGAAACCTCCTGACACACCTTTTTTTGCCAACGCACCCCGCCACCTACATTCCCGCCAATAAACTCATGGTCCAGCCCCACAAAACTATGGCATTTTTAAATCAGATATGGTTATATACTTACGATGGAGAGATGTTTGAATGCATATCTGTCCTTTTTGTTTTATTCCGTGAATGATTTATATGTATGTTGTATGTAGATTAAAGAAAAATTATACTTGAAATTCAACCTCCCATCTAATCTTCTACACCGTCCTTTGCACAGACATCAAATAAGCCCAAAACCCCACATGGCCCCTCTCCTCCACCCCCCGTTCTAGGCTGACTCGGGTCTAGACAGGACGCTAAAGATGTTCAAGAGTGAGGCGATGATGGAGGGCCGCTATGGCCAACCATTTGTTCGAACTGTTCGTTTTCGAGAATCTCCAAAAGTAGCTGAGGGTGGGGGTTGGCGCTTCCCTGCTGACTAGTTCTGCACGGTCCATACACTTCATCTTTCTTCTCCTGGCGCTAATGTACCTTGACTATCTGGGATATCAACAATAGAATGACCTCGTATTATTGGTCTTGCGATGAGACTTGCGATTCCTGCCGTCTATCCTTTTGGACTTTGGTCCTTCTGTTGGGTGGCTGGATCTTTTTATTTTTTTTTTCGCCCGTCAGCATATTAGTTTATAGTTCAAGGTAGACTCCGTGATAGCCGGACAAGAATAGGTCCCCCCCCCCCCTGTACAGAGTAGCTGACCTTGACCTTGGAAGTTGCCTCGAGTCTTTAATCTCCTATCTCACCACTTGCGTCATATACAGGCAAGGGCCATGTACTAATCCGAGTCTGACTTATTCAAACTGTATTCCCCGGGAAAATATGTATAGCCAAGGGCGCCAAACCAAGTACTCTGATGCGGAGTTATCACACTCTATTGATATTATTGCGGTGAGCAAGTATCCAAAATCAATAATTCTACCGAAGCTCCCTAGATCTACCCCTGCGAGCCCGCAGATAGTCCAATCACCTGATAGAGATCGTGGTTACGATTCATCACATCCGTTGTCGGTTCAGCACCCGAAACCTGTCCATGCAGATATGCTGTACAAGAATGACTAGTCCCATGTACAACAATGTACTCCGTACTCTTGAATGTCGCACAAAGTATACATGTAGAATATCTGGACTCGTGTGATATGATACGTGCTATATGTGATGAACGCCCGTTCCCCTTTGTGTACCGTGCCTTGCCTGCCTCCGGGCACAACGATTAATGTACCCCAGGATTGGCAATGCAGCCGGCTGGTCCAAAGATCAACAAGGGTTTCTTGTTTCTACCGGGCCGTTGCTTTTTTGGCGTGTTTTCGTTGCTTTTTTGCTTTTGCGACCGGTAAATTTGCTTAGTGTGTACTATGGTCGCCGGCGCGAGTTGGTCTCGGGTTATGGTTTCGGGGTCTACACCGCTAGTGATCGAAGATATGTCACTACAAATGTTTTATATTGTGCTCCGTACTGTTTGAGGATATGGTACAGAGTACGGAGTACAACATGTATCTTGTAAAGTGGCCAACTTATTGGAAACCGGGTACTCCACCAACGCAAGTACTTCGTATGAGATTCACCGCCACACATCCATATTCCCAAAGTAATTCCTCTTACAGTGTCAAGGATTGTTGCCGCTCAACGCCCGGCGCAAGACGGTGCCCTGCAGGTGGCGGGACCCACATTATACACAACATCTAAACATCATGATTACTGTGGTCTGAGTATTCTTAGTATAGCGCGAACATCCATGTCTAGGCCCAGTCAATAGACCAATAGAGCCAATACCTCTGACGAAAAGGGGGTCGGAGATTAAACGCCCTATTTTTGCGGAATCTTTTGCCACGGGGCAAATCTCGTGGGTTTCGTATCCTAGATGGACTCCGACTAGTGTTTTTCCAGTGGCAAGGGGCACCTTTCTTCCGTTGATCGCCGTCGCCTTCTGGAACACTCCACTTCCACACGATCCGACTAACAACATATGTACAACGTAATTGTGTGTTGTATATTATCATAATTAGCATAAGGATCGAGAACATGCTATTGATATGATTGACTATGATATCGTATATCGAGTACGTGGTCCTGCAAGTAAACTGAACCACATGCAGCTAGCAAATCAACACGGAATAGATATCCAATCTTATTGCTTTTCCAAACCAACTATAACCAACACAGAAAGAAACAAATATCTCCTAGTTCCAAGCAACTAGCTAGGCCAAAAGCAAATCTAAGACAAAAGAAAAAAGAAAAACCGTTCCAATCGGTATATCCAACCCCCCAAACCTGCCTCCTATTTGCCCGCAATTCCCTTGATGACACGTCTTCTACCTAATGGCCACCAACGGCGGGAAACACGAGCGCAAATCGAGAACTCCCGCCTCTGCCGCAGGAGAACCGGAGATAAGGAGGCAATAGTCTCTAGTGTCATGTACTCCATAGAACGTACAGAAACATGCCAATCGGATATTCTGGCATCTATCTACGTACCAGTTAACTATTGACTTGTAAGGTTTGTACTCCGCATAATCGTATCGACTCGAATTACCGAGTCCAAGGGTGTCTCTCCACAACCCAAAAATGAGAAACCGGGAAGAGTCCAGTCGGCTATGTATTTCTGAACCGCGGATACGGGCTGGACTAAGACTGAGTTTGGTTTAGAGGCAATCTAGAACTCTTCGAGGATTTAGGTTCCATGGGTTTGTTGGGTCTGAGTGATTTTAATTGGATTGCGGTATTTAGATCGGGTCCGGGCTTGATGGTTCCAAGGTTGGTTCTTTGTTTATTAGAATTGGGGCCATAGTAGATTGTGCACTATACGATAGAGTGGAATCGTAGTTTGATTAGTTCTAGATCTTGGAAGTGTTACCAGTGGCTTGGGTCAATAGGGGGCTAAGGTAGAAGGGGGGCGGGGCTGGTGTGATTGTGTGCTGGCGTGATCTTTTGTCTGTGATAGTGATGAATTGGATTATCGCGCGCTACCGATGTGTTGGGTGTTGCAATTGGGGGCTAGGGGCTTGTTTGTTTTTGGTAGGAGTTGGCGTGGGACTATGGAATGATGCACGGATTAAGGGGTTTTTTTGTTGGCTACACAGAGCTATGCGTCTCTAATGAGAGGTTGGACAAATTCCAAGCCACCCTCGGTTTATGTAGGAGTCCTAAAAATGAAGATGGACAGAGGCTGGTGCCTTGTGAAAATCGTATATGACATTTGAGAAGTTGACTGCTAAAATCGTACATAGACAAGTTGAATGCTAAGTTACTGCCATAGTTTGCATATTGACAAAAAAAGACCCATAGATCTCACCCGGTAACGCCGATCCTTCCAGCCAGGCTACGCTATTCCAGGACCAGGGTTGGACAACCTGGTAAACCCAGAGTGATCAAGGTGCAACCCCCGCAGTAAAAGTCACTTCAGGCAACTTAGTTACACCCTAGGCGCCAGGAACGGGTGTTTCAAAGCTTCAGCCGGTGTGATTCGTTTCTCAGGGTTAAGACACAAGCAACGGTCGAGCAAGTCCAGGAACATAGTTAGTTCTTTGACCTCAGAATCGGGCATTCCGCGTGTTCCTTGTGCCATGAGGCGACTCTTCAAGTCGCGCGTCGGTTTCTTGAAGTCCACAATCTTGGTGTGGAGACGGCCGGTGATTTTGTCTTGCTCCACGCTGTGAAAGTTGAGCATTTCGTCAAAGTGATGAGGAGACAGGGTTCCGCGGCGAAGAAGCTTCGCCGGGTACTTGCCCCGGCACTCCATGATGGAGCGAAGCATTTGATTGTTGTCGCGGCCAGTAAAGAGAATTTTACCTGTGTAAAGCTCAAAGAGAGTACAGCCAATGGACCAGACATCGATGGCGTAGTCGTAAGGGATACCCAGGATGATTTCCGGGGCACGGTAGAATCGACTGACGAGGTATGGCGTAATCTCATTTTCAGAGGCCGGCGACGCCGAACCCAGGTCACAAATTTTCAGGATGTTGCGTTGCTCGTTCACAAGGAGATTGTCCGGTTTAAGATCAGCATGCAGGATGTTACACTTGCGGAGGAGACATAGCCCAAGGAAAATCTGTTGGCCATAGGCCCGAACTGCGCGCAGGTTCAAACCAATGTCCCTACCATACCTCTTCAGGACCTCACGTAGGTCCATGCTAAGGTTCTCAAACACCATGCACAAGTGACCCTTGTGATCGAAGTATCGGTCGAACTTGATGGTGTGCATTTTTTGCTCCGGATCGGCTTCCCGTAGTTGCTCTAGGATGCCAATCTCCTTCATACCGGCCTTGCGCATTACAGCGTTCTGGCGAATGATCTTGACGGCAACTGGACCCCCTGTCTGGGTGTCAGTTGCACGTACGACAGACGAGAACATTCCCTTGCCGAGGTTTTGGTGGACATGGTATCGTCCGTTGATCAGCTCTCCGAGTCGGACAGCATAGTATCCTTCCGAGTCGTCCCAGTTATCCATCATACTGACATCCAGTTCTTTGCCCTGGGGTACAGCTGTGGCCGAAGCATGTGACGGCTTGGGGTCAGGTGATTCCTCTGCGAACATGTCATCGTCGTCGTCTGCAAACATATCGAATGCATCTGCCTTCGGCGCTGGCGCTGGGGGAGCATCGGGGAGGAGAATGTCCTGCTTGCCAGGTTTGGTCTCATCGTATGCTGCAGAGGAAACGTCGTGCTTTCGCTCCTGTACATTGCCATGCTTTTGGCTTTCTTCCTTTGTATCGAGAGTTGGGTCATAATCAGCAGCAGAGGGACCATTCTTATCAGCATCGACAACAGGTGTATTGGCGTTGATTGTGTCCATGTCTTTTCCAATACTGAAACCAGGGAATGCATCCGCGGGCTGTTCAAAGGGAGATGCCCGTGGAGAATCTATCGAGTTTACGGGCGTTAGTTTCGCTGATATCAAGGCAAGCTTGTTTGAGAGAAACCTACCGGATGCTTCCTTTGCGCTAGCTGGTTCAGTGCTAGGTGTGGATGAATCCGTTTCAACCTCACTGACGTTCAGTGCTTTGAGATGCAGTGGCGTCGCTTGGCTTCGATGTTTCGCCCGGATAGCTTCACGACGTTTTCGGCGAGCTTCGAGTGCCTCGGCTTCGTTAATGGGTTCAGCAAGCTCCGGCTCTTGCGCAATCTCCGGCTTAGGGATGGTTTCTCTATGGCACATGTTAGTCACGCCTTCTTCAACGCCCGTAACAGAATAAACGTACTCGTCAGCTACATGTGCTTGAAGATTAGAAGCAGCCTGCACCTGGGTCTTTTGTTTTTCAGCACCAAGCTTTGACTCCAGAGCAACGGCCGAAACCTGTCCTCGTTCCCTCACCAAATGTTCAGTGGGCCAGCGCCTTTCATTATCCGCTGAAGACTTGGCATTGACCACGTTTGAATCGGGTTCATCATCTGAATACTTCTTGGGCTTCCTCGTTTCACGGTAAGGCGATCGGCTGCGGCTGCGGGTGCGCTGCCGCTTGTCCTTGTGTCGGTCATATCGCTCATGGCGGTCGTAATCATCGCTGTATCGGAGGGTTCCTCCATGAGTCTCTTCGCGATCATAATCGTAGTATGAGTTGGGGCGCCGGTTGGGAGCCGGTCTGTCACGGCGTCTGTCGTCGTACCTAGACCTGTAACCTCGTGGAGGCTCCTGGCGGGGTCGCCGGTCGTAACTACCATCATAGGACTCGGGAAGATCGTCGTAATTGCGCTTCTGGGTCTTATTTTCTCTGTACGGGGAGCGAGAGCGGGATCTCGATAGGGACCTGGTCGGCGACCTCAGCCGGGGTGGCGATCGAGTGCTTTTCAATGAATCGGGAGATCTGGGCGCAGAGGATGGGCTAACTCTGGGGGGACGGTCAACGCTGGTGCCATTAAGAGGAAGTTTTGACGCAGTTGCCTTCGTCTCTGGGACTGATTCCACGATCTCACCCTCAGAGGGAACTGATGGGGACCTCGACCTGGGATGGGACATAATTGCGGGGCTCGAGAATTGCAAACAAGGTGCGTAGACAGTACTTTTAATCCTGGGGGTTCTCTTGGGGTTTCACTTCACTTGGCCTTTGGCAGAAGCTTCAACAATGAAGCTCAGTTAGCGAAAGCTCTAGTGACAATAAGTCTTCTCAAAGGATTTGTGAAAGTCCATCCAGATGTAGGAGGCCTGTGTGAAGACGAAAGCCTTGAAACAGTGATTAAAACTCCAGGCGCACAACTTGTCAAAGAGACAGACTTTGGGATGGAGATAAAGCACCTGCACAGGGTAGATGAATTGCAAAAGTGAGGCATGTCGGCGGTCGAACCTTTGCTGGTCAAGATAGGCAGAATGTGCGCTAGTCCAGTTGTGGTAGGCGGTCGGGTGAAATTTGCTGCTATCCTTGGCAGAGAAGGTTATCGGATTTTTAAAGAGGATTGATCCTGACATACCGGATAATCCCACACCGCCTTCCTGATATTTCAGGACCGCCTTCTCAATCCGGTGCGACCAGGGTTCCGGCCATAATTTCTGTCGCTCCTAGTGTAATATTCTGCCACCATAATAATCCTCGCTGCATTTTAATCAGAAAAAAATTGTACATTTCTGTATGAATCCTGCCTTTACACTCTAGAAATTAATCATCATATTTCTTAGGTACCTCCACGCGATTCCGGCCACGTCCGCGTCCTCGTCTGCCACCACAACCGTGTCTACGCGGAAGACTTAGGGACGATCTCTAGCTCGGAACCCGAGTTAGAAAGTAGGTATTTGGGGTTGAAGGTGGCCATATTAAATCTAAAATTAATAAAGTTGTTTAATAAAACATAGGGTAAAGGAAGGCAGGGTAGTAGATGTAACAAAAGTGACTTAATTTTGTTAGGGGTTTATATACAAATTGCAGGTACCTAACTACTGTCTTGTGTCCTACAATGTGTGGTTATCCATGGGGGCCCTTTTTAAAAGACACCACTAACCTTTCCTAGCCTAGCCTCTAGGTATTGTAAATACCAGGGTCTAATAATAATCTAACTCTTAGTAGAATCTATTTGTATGTAATTGAAATAATACAGCATTCCATACATGATATGGTAATTTTCACGAAAATAGCCCGGACTGCGCCCCAGCCAGGGTGGCCACATAGGGTGTGGATAAGCACCCCTCATGTATTTTTTTTCCATTGCCAACGCCGTTGAAACACCCCGCCATTCTTAACCTCTTTTCAATCCGCTCTCCCAGTTATTTTATTCCAGACAAAATGGGTGGCATCGGCAGAGAAGGTTCGTATTACTTCACATTTTAGTAACCTTGGAATCATGTTCACTAATATTTCATGATCTACAGGTGGCAAGGCCAAGCCCTTGAAGGCTGCCAAGAAGGAGAAGAAGGAGCTTGACGAGGATGAGATCGCTCACCAGGCCAAGCTCAGAGCTGGTATGGCTGCTTAATCACCGTATTCAGAGAGTCACTAACTAATAATTTCCTTTAGACGCTAAGGCTCGCAAGGAGATGCAGGATGCAGCCAAGGGCAAGAAGGGCCCTCTCAACACCGGCCAGCAAGGCATCAAGAAGTCCGGCAAGAAATAAACGGATCGAATACATCGACGGATCACTTGCCGACAATCCCCACAACGAGTCTTGACACCGGGTTTCTCGAGTCCATCTTCACGACCTACACGAGCCATGTTCAATGAGAGAGCGGAGGATGGGTTGGCTTCGAATGTGTGATCGCGCCTGCATCACTGCACTCATAGTTCACTCTATGGGTCTTCTGTATATCTTTAGCCACCAATACCTATTTCGCGCCTGATCGCATTTTCACAAATACAACTTCGCTAGAATGATCCATTTCCTTGAAAAGTATTGAGATTAATCGGACCAAAGTACATCAACATAAACCGCTACAGCCTGGGCATCCGAATAAAGTGGGTATCATCCTGCCGTGTAGGGGAACAAACGCTTAAAACACAACCACCATGCCCTAACATCGGAAAAAGAACAAGCAAATTGCCCTGAAAGACAAAGTAGGAATCAAAAAAAGGATGCTAATACCTCCACGGTAGCATCATGAGATCACGATCGGCCGTGAAGGTATCAAATCGCAACTGGACAGCCACTAACTCGTGACTCGCTTCACCCAGAGATTATTTCCATCACCAGCATTCTCGTTTTCGTCCAGTCGACGCCAAGCGCGAGAGATCTTCAGACCAAGATCGTGTGATTCTTTCTTGAGATCATCAATCTCGTCTTCGATGGCCTTAATGCTCTTCTGGGCCTCAGCTTTAGCAGCTAGATCATACACAGCCGAAGTAGGCTGAATGACCTTCCTCAAGTCAACGATCAACGCCTCCAAACTAAGTCTGCGCTGTTCAAGATCATCCCGCTTGGCCTCCAATGCTTTAACACGGCCCTGCGCATCTAGTGGTACCTCCGGAGGAGGTGAAGGCGATGATGGCTGCCCGGGATTCTGCGCTCCCTGCTGTGCGGCTTGAGATGGAGTGGGCTTTCGGACGGGCTTCGTGGAGACGGGCTGCTTCTTCGAAATTGGGTCGCTGATTGGAATTGGGCGCCGTCGGGACATGATAGAGGATGTGGATACGTCGTCTGTAGACCGGCTTTGGAGCTGCATACTACCCCGCGGGCTTGCATCCAGACTGCCGGGTTCGGTAGCTGTGTATGTAGTTGCGCTGAAACGACTCCTAGGTTCATTGCTCGTGAGCATCATATCGTCATCGAACTTGAATGTCAATTTGCTCTCCTCTTGCGGGCGAATTGGAGCGTGATCTGTTGCTAGTCTGCGGGGAAACGATACTGGACCACCGGCGGTGATAGTGGTTACAGTTGTAGGAGTGAACCCAAAGGTATCGAGCTGTGGATTCGCGTTTAGCCCACCCTTTTCATTGCGCTTGCTGGAACGCTCTGGAGACACACGTGACGACGATTTATTTCTGGCTTCCTTTTGCGCAAGATCTTCAGTCTTCGAGAAACTGCTAATCCGGTGCCGAGCTGCATTGAGGGTCTTCTTGGGATTGAAACCCTGGCCCCAGTTTAGCAGATTGGATGCATGAGGTGCAGATGTCTTGTTGAAGGAAGTGTTGCGGGGATACATCTGGCCAGCCCTGACATCATTCGAGGTCAGTTCGCCAGCAAAGTTCTCCCATTGTGTCGATTTTCCAGAGATGAATCGCGTAGGCTCCTGATAATTCTGGACTGGCTGGACTGGCTGAACTCGGGAGTGAGAAGGTGTTTCATCATAGCATTCCTTTGGAACAGGAGTTGGCGATGACGAAGCCCGAGTCTCCTGTCGCTCATAACGAGGAAATTGGTGTTCATTGTCGATGGGCGAGACACAGAAGCTACTTTGGCTTCCCCGCCTATGAGCTTCAAGAATCGGAGAAACAGCAGGCGAGATGTCTGAGTATCTATTGATATCATCGCGCTGGGCGGGATCTGGTTGTAACGATGAATGCAAGTCGCTGGTTTCTATTAGATATGTGCCATTTGAGCGGTAGCAAACACGAGACTTACTCAGGTAGAGGGGGCAACTTTTTTGCGACCAAATCATGCACGGGGTCTGATGTGGTGGGTGGCTTGCTGTCCAATATGGGGCCGCTTATCGAGGGCCGCTTGGACTTGTGGAACGGCCGTTTAGACCACATATCGATTCTATCACGCTCTAAACGTGATACCGGGCTGGTTTTGGTCGGAAAAGAAAGCACAGAGGTCACGCAAAACGATGCATAAGTTTAGGTCAAATAAAAAGAATGAAAGAGAATGAAAAGAGGGAAAGGATCGCAAAATACGGAAGGGGCTCTATCTTGTAGGCCACGATGCACAGCCTAACACGGAAGCCTATGGAATATAGGGAAGAACGCGAAAAGTATACAAAGATCAGTCGAACACATATGCATAAAAATGCAAAGAAGAACTAGAAATCCTTCGAAACATGAAATGACATGGCCTAATAATAATAGAAGTGGGCAGATTAAAATGGGGGCGATGATCCAGTGGAGAGAGCTTGAAACATTTCAGGGACTCTTGGGGCGTTTTACATTTTGAACCTGAAGTCCGAGAGCCTAACCAATCAATTCACATGTCAGAGAATGTATGGAGTAGATATTTCCTAAATATAACCTGCCTTGCTAAAGAATGAAAGAGAATGTCCATTTAAGGTCCAATCACGTGGAGCGGGGATATCGATGTCATCCCGAGCTTCCGGATTTCCCAAGGTTTCCACCTGTCTCCAAATATATTCGCCTCAATGGGTATGTGTCCAACGTTGGTCTGAATACCCATCGCTAATATGGAAACTGTAGATAATTCTGTGCCACAGGCTGAAGTGTTCGTGTCCCCCACTCGATACGTTACGGAAGATGAGACACCAACCTAACCGCTTTGCTACCCAATAGGATGTCTATCGCATCACCCATAAACCTGATCTTAGTCTCCCTCTTCGGAGTCTTGGTGTACTGGCACTTCCGCCCTAAGGCACCAATCGTTCTCCCTCGTGGCCCGCCGCCAACCGTCTACAAGACTTATACTCCCAAAACCCTGATTGAGTTTAACGGCGAGGAAGGTCGACCAGTTTACCTTTCTGTCCGCGGCCGCGTCTTCGATGTCTCCCCCGGCAGGAATTTCTACGGGCCGGTATGTGTTTTGGAATTCGTGAAATGCCACCGGGCATCGCCGCTGGAGCTGAAGCTGACAATATGATTGGGACAGGGTGGACCTTACGAGAACTTCGCTGGCCGGGATGCCTCGCGTGGACTGGCTTGCCAGAGCTTCGACGAGGAGATGCTGACCAAGGACCTGTCAGCGCCATTGGATGATCTGAAGGATTTGGATGCAGAGCAACTGGAGAATCTACAATCGTGGGAAGACCGCTTCTTGGAAAAGTACCTCGTCGTTGGAAAGTTTGTGGCTGAAGGGGACCCCGAAGCTCCTAAATCGTAACTGCGCAATAAAAGAAATGGATGGATACATATTTCGGGGGTGTATGGCAACGGCTGATATCTAGCGTTTACAAGAACAAGCGTGAGCCTGGAAAACATGAGAGTTACGTGATTTATTTTCCAGCATCATTTCAGAACCAAAGCAATCAAATATCGGGTTTATTTGCAATACTATCTACAACAAAATCCCCGAAAAGTAACCAACTGGCCAACGTTCTGCGCTAACGGGACCTCTGAAATATTGGGCGAAACCTATGTATTTTGTGTAGGTATATCAGATCGTTCAGACGGAACGGATGAAGCTGTATTCCTCTAGTTAAATGCCATTGTAACCAGGTGGGGACTCTGGGGAGTATACGAAAGTACCTACATAGGTACTGCCCTTTCAGTTTCTGGATAAAAATAGCTCATAAACTCGGGTCTGCTTGGTATATAACATACGGCAAGGCCAACTCGTGAAGGAAGATATTGCTACATGAAGGGCTAGGAGGTTAGATATTCCAAGGTTATACCCGGCGCAACACAGGACCCAAAGACCCAATTATTATTTTGACCCTAATCATTTTCATCAACTCACCATTTTATCCACCTCTACACCACCAAATATGCCTGGAATACACCCAAGAATTGGAACCTCGCATTGGAATTGCCTTGCAATTATCTGCTGAGTAGGAGATGCCTAAAATCACGCAATTGGCACGGCAATTTGATATTTTTTATAAACTGCTACGCAGTGGAATCCATGTCACAAATCCGAAAATTGTCATAAAGGCCCTAGTAAATATTAGAGCTAGAATAAGAGGATGCATTGACAGGTGCCCATATACCTTATAATGTTATGTTACTAGTTCTCTGCTAACTACCGAGATAATCCACGACTATACTATCCAAATTCTTCATCCCTTTACTATAGGGTGGGGCGCTACTGTGTAGTATAAACTAGCCTAGAGGCATAGATGGATATGTAATATATGCGGATTGCATGGTATTCCCTGATAAATAGAAGAAAAGTTAATATGACCGGAGTGAAGAACGGCAGAATTGTATTTTTGAATAAACAACCATGGCTCGCCCAATCGTATATAGATAATTAAGTGCAACGGATTCAAAATGGGTATTGGAAGCAAATGGACCTGACCACCTTTCCCACCGCCTAATCCACCGCCTACGCCACCGCCTACCGTTTCAAGTATTCATACAACTCATACAACTACTGCTGTCCACGTGCCAAAGGATTCATGACGCACGCTGATTGGATAAAGCCCGACCGCCTATATAGTTAATGATAATTCCAAAGTAGATCTATTCAATTTACTCTTCCAACTCATCTAAAACTTCTCTCTCTTCGGGTTTTCATCAATTTTAGTCATCCTGCCCGTGTTTTAAAGCTGGCAACTGCTTCTGCAGTTACAGCTGATTCCATTATGCCGGACGAGTCGAAAGGGAAGAACAGCTTCCCTGATGTTTCGGCGAAACTCTCGGCGCTTCCTAAGAAATCACTTTTTGAGCGTCAAAAAGCTGAAGCGGAGGCCAAACGCGCCCGGGAACAAGCAGAGACAGCTGCAGTCTATGAGGAGTTTGTCAAATCTTTCGAAGACGAAGATCCAAGTGTACCGCAGTCATTGGATGGAGCGAGTACATCTAGAAGGGGTGGTCCCCCTAGGCGTCATTTCGCAGCTTCCTCTTCACGCGGCAGTGGCCATGGTCTCCTAGCCCCCCCACCGTCACAAAAACGTCCCCGCGAAAACGTCCCCCTCTCCCGTCGCGACAACAAATCTGAAGACATGCTTACTTCACCTGAAGCCGACAGGGCGAATAATGAGGAGAGGGCAGCGCCCAAACCCATATTGTATCTTGCATCACTTCCTCCCTGGACATCTCTGTCGGTGATCAAGGCGCTGATCCCCTCAACCCTGACCGTGGACAATGTTAAGATTATCACCCCACCCGGACAATTGCCGACCCACCGGGAGTCCTCTTCTGCTCTCGTCACCCTCGCAAGCGACTCGGCCGCCTCTGATATCGACACAGCTGTAAACACCCTGAAGAACAAATATCTGGGCTGGGGGTACCACCTGGCCCTATGTCGCCATCTTTCCTCTGCGGCGATCAACCCAAACATGCCCCTGCCCATTAGCCTTCCGTCGACGACCGATTCTCTTCCTTACGGAGCTACGTCTATTCCACCGAGTTCGGGCGCAAGCCTGAATCGAGCCCCACCGCCAGGGGCACACCGTGGGGGAATCCCACCCCCAAGCTCGTATGGATCAAGCGTTGGTACAAATGGCCAAATTCATTGGGTGCAGGCCCAGCTACCGACAGACATAAGAGTGTTAAGACAGATACACATGACTATTGAGCAACTCGTGAAAAGAGGTCCTGAATTCGAAGCATTGTTGATGAGTCGGCCAGACATCCAGATGGATGAAAAGTTTGCCTGGTTGTTCGATCCAAGATCGCCTGGTGGTGTATACTACCGTTGGAAATTGTGGCAAATCATCACAGATCCCAAAAAGAAGAATATTGATAAGCCGACGATCATCTTTGAAGGTCGTTCGACTTGGTTACCCCCAAAACAACGCCTCGCGTTTGAGAACGTAACTCGCTTCGACCAAATTGTCTCACACCCAGACTACAACTCATCTGACGAAGAACACTCCGACGGAGAAGATGAAAGACGGAACCGTGGTGGATCACCTCCAGACGACGAACTTGAGTTCTTGACCCCGTTGAAGTGGGCCAAGCTTACCCATCTTTTTACACGACTTCCGACGACACATGCCAAGCTCCGAAATGGAGATGTTGCGCGAATTACAGCATTCGCCATGGATCATGTGGCAGTGGGAGCACACGAGGTTGTCAACATGGCTATTCGAAACGTTCTCCGCCCTCTGGCCTACACGGGGGCCAACCCAAATCAGAAACCGGAAACCGAAGATGTGTTAGATATGTCCGCTGCCAAACTGGTCGGGCTTTACATAATTTCTGACATTCTTTGGTCTTCGGCAAATAGTGGCATGCGCCATGCATGGCGATACCGCCAGCTTTTCGAAAATGCTCTTCGATCACGCAAGGTATTTGAGCACCTTGGCCGACTTGATAAGGACCTCCAATGGGGACGACTGAAGGCAGAGAAGTGGAAGCGCAGCGTTGGCGCCCTCTTACACCAGTGGGAAGGGTGGTCTTGTTTTACACAACTCAACCACGAGTATTTCAGCCGAGTGTTTGAAAAGCCACCACTCACAGAAACCGAATTGCAGATGCAGAAGGAGGCAGAGAAAACCCAGGCGGAGCAAGCTGCTGTTGCATTTGCCAAAAGCAAGAGTCGATGGAAGACAATCGATGATGAGCGTGGAAATCATGATCCTACTCACCCTACGAATGAGAACGAGCTATCTACCTCTGCTCACGCAGTGGGCGAATCGATCTATGAAAACGATGGTATTGTAATGGACACCGGTGACCTGGAGGATATCGATGGTATTGCAATGGACATCAGTGACCTGGGGAATATCGATAGAGAGTTTACGCTCGAGGAGCTGTCATTGGGCGATGAAGATACCCAAACCGAGACCCCCGAGCAGCCACCTCAGCACCCAACCGAATCTGACAAATCTGAACAACCAGCTGGGCAGCAGGAGCCAGAAACACGGCGACGAAAGCCACGACCCAAGGCTGAGGACATGTTCGCGTCCGATTCGGAGTGAGGTTGGGCATGTAATTGTACAGATTATGAGATAGCATCGGATGATAACTGAAAGATACCTGTAATGAATACAATGAATAATTATTATTAAAAAAAAAACATTCTCTTCATCAGTATAAATAGAGACAAGTCGTAGGCCCTGAACCTGACGGAGGCTCTCGATACATAAGGCAGCCAGGCATCATCGGCAGAACATTTCCTGCCCCACAACCCCTCATCAACAAATACCTTTCTCCTTTCGCGCTCAACTTCCTGCACCCTTCAAGTACAATCACACCCTTTTTTTCTTTTATTCCAACCCCCTACAACTTCTTCAAAATGGCCGGTATGTCTTTCTCTCTCCCACTCGGTTCATCTATGCCTTTCCCGAAGGGGAGGAGTTGATCGTTTGGATCCCAGACAGCAGTGTGTGACTATGTTGCGCAATGCCATGGGAACCAATGCAAGAAATGCAAATACAAAGAAGGGAAATTGGCTAACAAATTTGGCAATTTATACAGACTTCAACGCTATCGCTCGTACGTTATACCTATACTTTCCTGCCTCATCTACACGGATCTCGCAATGCGCCTGTTCACAATGATCCTGTCATCCAAAGTGGAAATGGTCATGAAGAGATGGGTGGCATATCATACACAAAAAATCATGTTCTAACTTGTGGTCAACTCGTACAGAGCAGTTCGTGCAGTTCTACTACCAGACCTTTGACGGAAACCGCGCTGGCCTTGCTGGTCTCTACGTAAGCCCCGCTCTCAAGATGCCTTTACAAGTGAGATATTTGGATTTGAACTAACATCAATTATCAAACAATAGCGCGACCAGTCTATGCTTACCTTCGAGACCAGCTCAGTCCAGGGTGTCAATGCTATCACTGAGAAGCTCAGTGTTCGTCAACCCCAAATCCTGACCTCAATATGAGAAGAATGTTCCAATACTGATTTTTCCAACTCAAATAGGCTCTGCCGTTCCAGAAGGTTCAGCACCAGATTGCTACCTTCGACGCCCAGCCCTCCAGTGGAGATGGCATCGTTGTGCTGGTTACCGGTGCTCTCCTGGTATGTTGAATACCCATGATTTCTCCGGTTATGCCTAGCTAATATCGATTTCTCCCTTATAGGTTGACGAGGAGCAGAAGCCCATGAACTACACCCAGTGCTTCAAGCTGCAGCCCGATGGTGCCGGAAGCTACTTCGTCCTTAACGATGTGTTCCGTCTGATCTACAGCGCCCAGTAAATCATGGGCCCGCAACAAATACCACGACGCGATGACGGGGAGGTGCGCATTCTTGGGAAGGGAATATGCCTTCGAGGCGACCAGGTTAAGACCTGTCGTTTGTCGCAAGTGACACCCCTCGACTTGTGATATGCCTATGTCAGAAGTTATTAAGAATTTATTTTTTGGATCACCAATCATTCTAGAACTGTATGGGATTTCATCTCTACCAAGCTACGAGATAAACACTATATAAAAGCAGCACACATCACATCTATCATGCGCACATTACTGGCTCTGAAGCAACGGCGTCTCCTCAGTCGGTCGCTCATCATGCGCAGATTCCTGCTGGGCGCTCTCCCCAGCATGAGCCGATCCATTTGACACCTCATTTCCATCAGCCAGCCGCCCAACTTCCCGCTTATCGTTGGACCCAAAGTACTCAAAATAAATTGCCATCACCAACAAGGTACCCTGCAAGCAGGCGGTGACAACCAACACACCCCAGATACTCCAGCCATTCCAACCCTTACGGGCAGCCAAGCTAGAAGCCCAGACAAGACTTCCCGGCGTCTGGATACACATCATCGGGATACTTAAGCTCCCGACACAACGCAGTCTGAAGGTAGTGTAGATCTGCGGGAAGTACTGGATCGACGCGAGGATCGCCGCTAGAACACCGAGGAAGTTCGCCCAGGCCTGAACAGCAGCTGGCTGGTGCAGCTTGAACGCTAGACTAATAATAATCGTGACGAGCGCATGTAGTAGACAAACTCCCGTTATCACGAGCGCGGTGCGGTATGTCGGTCCACCGGAGGTGGATGAGACTGTGCTAACTGGGTCTGTGGGGGATGTGGCGCGCGGGAAGTAGATCACAAATAGTAAAAGACTAGATACGGTCAGACAAGCTCGGATATTTGGTGGGGAATTGGGAATCATAAAATTATTGGAATTGTTCGACTTACATAGAGAAGAAACAGAGCCATTGCATGGCTACCTGGAATACTCCTAGTAACCCCGCGAAACATGCGAACCCGCTGATCTCCCGGCAGCAGGCGACATCTTGCGCGGTCGATGGGAATACTAGGATATTGGCGAAGGCTGATGTCCCTGATGTTACCCCTAGGAGAATGAAGTATGGGGAGATGCCGAAGGAGCTTCGTCGGGAGATGATGCGGATGTGTTGCGGGAGGTATGAGAGGAGAATGCCGAGGATGATCAGGCTAAGGTATGTCAGTGATTGGGGACTGTTAGGTTTACTTTGGAGATACGTACATAGATAGCACGGCTTGGAAGATGCCTGGCGAGGCCAGCTCGCGGCAGTAGGGTGTTAATGGGTCCATTGTTGTGTCTTTATGATGTATGAAGCTCAGATGAGGAGGTCGGGGTCGGGGTCGGGAGCTCGTGACAATGATTACACAGTACGTCACATCGGAGATTTCACTCTTTCCTTCGCAAAATTGAGAGGAAATTCGGTATTCTTGAAGACAAAGAAATGGAATTCCTAAGAGATATTGTAGGTAAACTTGAGTACCTTCGTTGGGCACCCCTCTCTGGCTTGACGCCTAGGTGCCTGGATGCCTTGATGCCTTGATGCCTTGAATACGTTTCACTATTCCTATTTGGGCATAGTGCCAACAATCCAATGTAGGTGGAACTATACAATGGACATACATGGATGTTCACAGCGCGCATCTCAGCAGTAGGAATTTTGTGGGGGATTGACAGGCAGGATATCTAGGGAGATAATGGAGCGGCTAGTTGGTGGATGACAAGGCCTGACGATTGCGGTTGGGATCATGACAACTTGCACAAATATATACATATCTTTAAATATTTCGCTGATTCCCGTCAGATATGATAGACATACTCGAGAGCAAGTTGTGTTCTTCTATTGACTTCTATTGTCAGCGTTGAATAGAAGGTCTGTGGGTGCACTCCCCCATGGGAGTTGTTGCTGTTGAGATCTGCATACACCGCGGATGCTCTTCTATGAGGCTCAGCGCTAGTGTGGGATGTCGGAATAACCAGGGGTTTTCTGTAGCTATATGTCTTGACTCGGCCATTCTGCGCGCACTGGTATTAACGAGATACTCGTATAGGTAAGGAGGTTTGAGTGATCTCTTCAAGGACAGAATTCATTTCATCGGTCAATTTTTGGATGATAAGTTACTGCGCCTCTTTATTTTCCGCAGCTGGTGAAAACGTCCATAATTAGAGTTGGGCAGACTGATGGCTCGACTTGTGGAGGCGTAAGATTCCAAATCAGGTAAAGATGCATGGTGATCAATGAATAGGTTTGTTAGGGCTGTAGCCAGTGCAGATTAGCCCCCAATAATACGGAGTAGGGAGAGTAGTATGTTTACCTCGCAAGTTCGGAGCTTGGCTTTAGCGAAGGCACTCTTCTTTCTGTATATAAAATTCAAAGTTCCGATACGAATATTTATCCAATCGCCCATAAACTGGAAAAAAGGTGAAAAAGTTGGATAAACCAACGTTAGAGAGTCGAGTGTCATCTATCGTCATCATAGGCTGCCTATCGTCGTACGTAGTGACTTTCCAAGTTATCATTCTTAAGTCTGTTGTGTCTAGTTTGCTTCTAGATACATTAGTTAAATAGTTGAATAGTTCGTTACCTCTGCCTAAGTGTAGTTGTTGGTTGAGTTAAACTATGAATTGATGCCTTGGAATTCCGGCATCAACAAGCTAGAATGGACACACTAAACCGCATCGAGTAATTCAATAGAAACTACGATGTAGAACAGGAGAAACATAGTTGGTATAACCCTGTGTATATTAAAATTCTAAGTATTAACACTGAAATCAATTCATACCTACAACAGATGTACTGGCAGTAATGAAGATCCACAGAATGGATGATTCATGCACTCCATTCAAGGCAAATTCCCCCAACTACGTCACCGCGCAATCATTCATGCTTGGCCCTTTCTTGCTTTCGCAGCTTTAAAAACTTCCCATTTCCAATTTCCCCCATATATTCATACTTCTTGCACACTTTCTGTTAAACACAATACACAATGAAGTTGAATTTGGCCACTGGCCTCATCTGCTTGCTCGCCTCCACTGAAGCAGTCGCAGCTTCCAGCTGGTGGAGCAAAGCCGGTATGTTGTCTTGGACACATTTTCCTTTGGCAAGCTAATAAAAAGCTAACATCGTGAGCAGTCTACAACAAATGGCATGAAACTGAGCTCGAGCGATGGCTCTCGGACCATAGTACGCAGCACTTGCCTTTCTAACAGCTTCATATACTCACATCTTATACAGACATCCCTTATCCCAGTCCTGCCGACCGCCGTGACCTGGAGAATCTGGTCAAAACCAACTGGGATAACAAAGTGCAGAAGCCCCTTGGACAAGCTGCAGAGAACATCAATCATGAGCTCCACCATGCCAGAGAATGGGTCTTTGATACGTAAGGTGCTCACCTTTCCCAGTTGTGAATAAAAGCTGACCTATATAGTTGGTCCGACTCTCAGCTGAAGGCATTCCTTGATCGCCACGGCATCCCTGCCCCCCAACCCCGCAGACGTGACCTTCTGATCAAGACCGCGCGCGAGAACTATGAGAAAATCGCCACCAAGGTTGGCGAAACGGCTTCCTACCCTGGAGACTGGCTGTACGAGGAGTGGTCCGACTCGGATCTCAAGGAATGGCTCGACGAACGTGGATGGCCGGTGCCCCAACCGACCAGCCGTGACAAGCTGATTGCGTCTGTTCGCCGCAACTCACGCGTTATCAGCTTGCAGTCCCAGAACCTTGCTGCGTCTGCATCCGCCGAGGCTGAAGCTGCTAAGGAGTCTCTGAGTGATCAACTTTTCAACGCCTGGTCCGACTCGAGGCTGAAGGAATTCCTCGACGAGCACAATGTCAAGGTGCCACAGGGCTCGAGGCGCAATGAACTCATTGCTCTGGCCCGGAAGAACCGCGCCTATCTTTCTGGTCAAGTGTCAAGCGCCTCTTCCGCCGTGGAGGATGCGTACGGCGCTGCTACCACCAAGGCTGGGAACGCGTATGGCGCTGCTACTACTAAGGCTGGAAACGAATTTGCACGCGCTACCGATTATGCCAAGCTGAAGATTGAGGATGCTTTCGAGGCTGCGTTGGGTGGCTGGTCTGACTCCCGCCTGAAGGCTTTCCTTGATGCCCGAAGCATCCCTGTCCCTCAGAGCGGCAAGCGTGATGAGCTCACTGCTAAGGTTCGCGCCAACGCCCACAAAGCTGCCAGTGGATGGAACGAGTACAACTTCGATACTTGGGATAAAGAACACTTGGTGTAAGTATATACACGCTTTTTAAGTATGATTTCACTGGCTAACCCTCCATAGGAAGTACCTGTCTACCGTGAACCACAAGGCGGCCAAGCAGGCCGATGCCTCCCGCGAGGAGCTTATCAAGCAAGTCCAGGACTCCTACGCCAAGGCTTCCAAGGCCGGCGGCGAACAGTACGCCTCTGCGACCGCTGCCCTCACGCAGGCAACCGGCACAGCCAAGGACGCCACTTTCAACCAATGGTCGGAATCCGAGCTCAAGAGATACTTGGACGACTATGGCGTTCCTACCTACCAAGGCTCGAGCATCAATGAGCTCCGAGCTGCGGCCCGGCGTAACGCCCAGTACTTTAAGTACGGCACCACCACCCCGCAAGAGACCATCTATTCCAAGATCATGAATCTTTTCAACTGGGCTTTGGAACAGTTGAAGATTGGCGCTGCTAGTGGTCGCGCTCAGGGTACTGAAGCTGCTGAAAAAGTCCAGAAGAAGGTCTCCGAGAACACGGAGAGAGTGCGTGGAGAACTCTGAACTACATTTCTTTCCATATTCAGATCTTATTGCTTTTCTTATGCGACAAAGTTGGGGTGCGCAATTGGTTTTGTGAAATATCTTAAGTTACGATGATTATGACATTTGGATCCCGATGTTTGAGTCTGTAGATCATTAACTGGATTGAATATCTTGGATCATTGTAGAATAGGTAGGCAACTCTAGCACTAAAGGACATGGATGTATAGCTCCCCACTTATAAAATGGGTCAGGGGACCCGCTCAGAATCTAGAGCTAAGGCATATTTTGCTTTGGTATGAAAAAGGAAGCCTGTCTCAGCCATCCTAGTTGTCCTAGACAGCCTTCTGGACACAATGATCTCGGTACGCCAGGGGAAACTGCCCAAGGGATATTCCACACTAACGGACTAGGTCAAAAAGTGTAGTCTCCGTAGTCACAGTGAACTTGAGCAACCCTGCCGACAAAATATTATCAGCGTCGGACAATTCACCTATTACAGCACGAAGTCCATAGACATCGAACGCCGCATATACAGTCACCTAGGCAAACATAAACGAATTGCCCATTGTATCCGCTGGGGCGACGATTTCGTCGATTTGCAGTATGAATGCAACGGCGACCTCGAATCTTACTTGAAGAAACCCCAGCGGTTTTCTTCGGATAAAGTGTTTCCAACGCTTGATGGAATAGGAGATCAGCAGCGGAGGTATATCATTCATGAATGTTGGATGTGTCAGTATAGCTGTGCATCGGATATTCTCGAGGATATTCCATCTGTTCAATGACTCGAACACATTTGCCAGAGTTCAGTTTGTGTTTTGCAATGGTGAGTTGCGGTCTATCAACAATCGTGTCCAGACGAAGTTTTGAATTACTCGACTGGATCTTCAGGATTCAGCTACTGATGTCCCAGTGGGGGTGGAGGTCGGGAGTCCAGAATTTGATTTGGGTGTATGGCTTCGAAGACTATGTGCCGCAATATACTTCATGGTCGAAATTGGAATCCTAGTATATGATGGGCTGGAGTACAATATACAAACGGCATAAGAGAACCAGAAAATCTGAATTGGATAAGAGAAATTGTTGGGGGTATCATCTTTATTCGCATCAAAGCAAGGTACATAGACCTAGATATCTTCAGAAGGAGGCACCCTATCATCCCCATCATCCTTGTACGGCCAATTACGCCAGCAGAGCTCCTCCTCGCCTACCTCTGCTTGCCGAACCATTTCCAATTGAAACTGCCGATTAAGCTCCGATGCCCTCTCAAAATTCTCAGGCTCAGTCCCGCCTTCCATATCGATACCGATGTATTCCCTAGCTCGGGACAGTAGCTGCTCAGATTTGTTCCATTCCTGTGATTCCGTCATAGCAGCCTCTCGTTCTTCGTCGCTGAACACAACCGGACAAACTGCCGAGGAGATGCTGCTCCATACTGATGGATTCGTAATTCCTACTAATGCAGCACGTAGGTTGATTAGGTCCGCATTCCAGGGATACCCTGTTTGGCGGATGAGATACTGCTGCATCCCGATATGAGGGATTCTCAACACATCCATATGCTTGTCGTTGTATATCCCTGTCGCGGCTATGTAGTAGAGATTGGCCTCTTTCAAGCGAAAGACCGCTTTAGATTGTCTCTGTTGATCGATGTCCATCTGATCAAAATCATCCGGAAGGGAGGGAATCTGTAGACTTTGAGGCTGGGAGGGATCGTGCTCGCAGAACGCAGGGTAACCTGCTTGCATGAAGCGGGGGAATATCACAGCATCTTGCCAGTCAATGATACTAGCGATTTTGGTTGATCCGGGAGTAAGTAAGATGTTGCCCAAACTTAAATCGGGGTGCCTTAGTGTTGGAGCGCTGGAAGAGCCTGGTCGGATTAAATGAGGTGCTAGTTGTAGAAATTGAGAAAGTAAGGACGTGTGCTCAGAGGGATGAATGCCATGGTCAGTTGGTAGGAGGAATGTCTGGCGAGGCTGAGCTTTAGCGTGGTGCTGAATAACAGCCATCTCTCGGCGAGCTGCGGACGTAACACAGTCCACGGGCGAAAGCCCTGTGGTAATCATTAGTTCCGGTTATGTGAGTTGTAGAAGGGGAGCCTACAGGGCCCGCGATAAATTTCTGTTTTGCTCCGTTGGCCATGCCAAAACTGCCGAGCAGACATAGAGCCGATACAGAAATCTTCAACCATTGGTATCTGCGTGTCCCTGTTGTCAAGGTCCTTCTTGTGATACAAGCTTCCATATGCAGGGAAATCAAAGTCAAAGATCTTCCTCTCCATACTCGCAATTTGTGTCATGATATCTTTCACTTCTTCGGTCGTGAGAGATAACCACCGCAAGAAAAGACTCTCTCCCTCCACTCGCTCCATCAGGATATACTCTGGCCCAACGGGATTATCCGATGATGTTGAATAGGCCAAGACCTTCGGCACAGGGAGTTCGAGGACATTTCGTAAAAAGTCCATTCTTGGCTACCTCGCTGGCGGTTGTGTAATGAGGAGGCCCGGCAATAGGGGTAGGAATTCGCGCGATAACCTCATGGCCATTCTTTGCTCGTAGAAGAAACAATTTGTTGAAGTCTCCCTCGGCAAGCTTAGAAATATCATGGCAATAGCCCTGTTGTATTGCTTCGCCAGCGACCCGTTGGAGCTCTGTTGGTTGAAACTTGGTGTATCGCTCGTTCAAACGGTCCGTCTCGTTGAATCTTGACATTTAGTAACTGTGACCAGAGCCATAATAGGCCTCACTTACATCCATCTTTGTGATGTATTTTGAAAGAATTCCTCGGGTGGGTTTGAACTAGTGGATAAGTGATGGAGGGAGGAAATAGACATGGTGGAGTGTTTGCGGAAACATAAAATGGGTGATACGCTTCTAGCAATGACAAGTCTCTGAAGAAACTTTACCATTGTTTAAAAGCAATTGAGCAAGGAATACATTGAGTGTACAAAGATGTGGGCAATTACAAGTTGATCAAAGTGAGACCTATACAAGTTTGTAGCTATGTTTGCCAACATTGGAAGGTGGAGCTCCATGGGATGTCAAGCCCAGGGATGCCAAGCCCTAAGCCCCAAGCCCCACTATGTTGTACATACCTTTTTCACCTTCTGATATTCCATACTCTATACTGGTCACAGTGACTTATTAGAATGTTTTATTCAACTCTATTGACACAATAGACACATCTAAATAGAATTATATCTGAGGAGACTACTGAAAAGACTACCGAAAAGGCATCACACGCATAAGATTACGAGAAAACTAAATGGTAGCTAAATAAATATATATCAGAGGAGCATACTAAGCCCAGTCTAAGATTTCCTCGTTTCCTCAACTTTCTCAATTGTTGCAGTTGTAGGATCACTCTGATGACCCTCCTCTAGAGCAATATCCTTCCCCACGGGAATTGTGACATTAAGCTCAGTATTCCGGTGGCTATCCATGACATCTTTATCGAAGACATTCACGTAAATGGGAAACGCCAATGTGAGAACAAAGCCCATCATTGGGATTGCCATGGCAATATGAGCATTCTTCCTTGTCTGCAAGTGCCACATGTTAGTATTTGAGACTTAGAAAAGCCCTCCAGCTGCGGTCTCTAGTGTGGAGAACCCAGCACCAACAACCTGGTAAGGTTAGGGGTATATCTCGGAGCAAGATTCTTTGTTTCACGTACAAACATGCTACCGCAGAATCTACCAAAGGACTTGTTCACTCCACTAGGCCAGAAGAGAAGACATCCAATGGCTAGCACGGCGAGGCCTGGTTACAAAATGATATGTTAACTGGGTATACAAATGGATCGTTTGAAGCAACCTCGTGTTTCTTACCGGTCATGAAGGTAATTCTGAATCTGTATTTGCGCGCGATCCAGCTAGAGACTGTCAGTGGACAGATGAAATAGGCACCATAGTATGAGGCTTGCAAACCACTGGATTTGCTAGCAGTAATATCGAGGGTTGTTTGGCAATGCGAGTTCAGAACATCCAGCAGTCCGCATGCGAATCCCCAAAGGAAAAAAAAAGATCATAACCATGGGACCAATGTTAGAGATTTACCTGGAATACATCAAGCCCATATATACCTAATGCATTTGGGAGTAGAGATTGCCGTAGACTCAAGTGAATTGCTGATGTGACGGCATTATCCTCAACGGTGATCTTCCGCTTGAAAATACCCATTATGGCTTGGATTATCGACAAGTATAGAGGTGATCTGCAAGCTTGCAGCAAATCCGAAGAAAAACAAAAGGGATCTTATAACCCCAGTTTTTCCCCAGCTTCGTGTGGATCTATGAGGGTTCCAGCAGCGGGATAATGCATAGCGAAGCCACGCAATTTTCTTTGGATTAGCTGCCATTCGTCCATAGCTCACTAGCAATTATCTTGTTGCAAACCGAGGCAGATACACCAATCAGGATTCTGATGGATGAGGAGCTTTCCCAGAAGCCAATTATGTAGCGTGTGCAGGGGATGTCCTCTTGGCCAGACCGAAGACGGAGTCATTTAGATTCCATGAAACCCAGGGAAGTCTGGGGCCGAGAAACTCGTTGTAGATAGTTCAAACTCGCCGATTCTATTAAGTCGGATGATGTTATGTTATCATATGATATAGACAAGAATAGTTCGCCGCATGAGCGGCCTTGTGATATCCTTTTAGTAGTCTTTCTAGAGGTCTTTTCAGTGGTATTCTCAGATATCATTCTGTTTAGATAGGCCGACGGCAAAAGAAATGCAGTAAAAGGCTTAATTTACGAACGGATTCTCTATGTATAACCTTTGATATAGATATAGTTTTGCTGCTAGCTATTCTCGCAATTTATGCCCTTTCTAGTCAATCAAGTCATAGGGGCGTTGGAAGGATCTCAAGCCCCGTTCTACTATATGCGCCTCATGGTCCGGCACTCCTGGAGCCGCATATCCTGCCCAATAAAAAATAGGATGGACCCTGAATTTCTCGTTAAAGGCTTGATTAGTTGTGGTGCTTTCATGTCTCAGGCGGTCATTAGACCGATAAGCCGAGTAGAATATGGGGTGACAGCCAAGGAATATATATTGACCTTGACGAGGTATCACGCGGGGTTTCACCTGCAGTCTGAAGTAAGGGTCGACTTATGTTTCATGCATTGTAGTGTAGGATCTGTTATTCAAATATAAGATCACCCGAGGACGGCCTCAAGACTATGCACGAGGTTTCTAGAGGGAAATCAATGAAGCGAAATTCCTTTTGCATCCTTTCTAAGGTCCATGTGTGAAGTTGAAGACCTTTTTCTATATTTGGGATCTATGTGCTGCACGATAGAGTTGGATCTACATCTGATCATCGCCCCTACTCCACAAACTGGGGCCCTTGGTGGACCTTGACTGTCTCACGGGATCGGGCTCCCCGATGTATTTTTATCATGACGAGCCGCTCTGGGTGACGAGTAGAGTGCGTAAGATGCGTCCACGGGTATAGAGATTTATTAGCTAATGCATATTGACCTCTAGGGCTCCCGAGGTCATGAGGCTGAAAACCTTGTAGATCTACTAACCACATCACATCTTTGTGCCCTATTGAAAGCATTGAATCAGATTTATTATCTTGGAGAATAGCTGCGGGCCTCGCCTCCTCGCCCTATGCTATGCACTTTCTCATGGAGAACATTGTTGATTTAGGCGTGATCATGGTTTGTATACTATGTATGACGTAGGTTACCAATAACTGTTCCAGATGTTGAGTAGTTTAATAGTATCAGGTTCAACATTCATACTCCAAAGCTTGTGATATTTGTTAATATACAGAAGGTATCATATAAGGAGCTGTTTGGCGGTCGGTAATTGATAATTTCTACATTGCATATGGCCTGGATAGTATCATAGAATATTGACATTTTACAATATTGTAGATCAATAGACGAGCCGGGTCTATGGTCAGCCAAACGAACTTTCCCAAGGTCTTGTGTGAAATGCTGGGATATAAAGACTAGATGGAAACCAAAACCATCAGATATACAACTAGTCAGATAGAGTCAGATGGAGTCAGATGGAGTCAGATGGAGTCAGATGGGGTTGGCCCTAAACGAATACCGTTTCCACACGCAATTGCAAGAGGGGCTGCCCTGAACGGCTGAAACGGTTCGGGCGAACCTCTATATTGAGACCGAATATCATATCCCTTCTAGGTAGGAATAGGGAGGCCTTCCATAGATACAATGCCTGATAATCTCCGAGAAAAACCAAGATGCGGATTGATTTTGTACTTACCTATATTTGAATAGATTCTGCTTTAGCCGAAATATTGGGGATTTCCTACCATCACGAGAAGAAAGTCATAGGTGAATAATTCTACATTTTTCGGATAACGATTAATCCGTAAGACATTGGGTCCGAGATATCTGCTCAGCCATGTTTAATTGTGAGATTTAGGTTGATTTTTTTATCGAACCTAAAGCCATTTCTTTTCGAGGACTCCGAAGATTGGTGTAGGGTCTATACCCTCAGTTCAATGTGGATTCCTGACCCAAACATAAAGGGTTTGGTATTCGGTTGCGTGGCGAGAAAAGAAAAACTGTTCAAATTCGACAGTAAATCACGTTTGATGATTTACTTCCCTTGGTCTAGAACTAGGGCCTGGAACTTATATTGCATATATTAACAGAGAATACCAAAATAGCACAATATATGAAGCATGAAAGGGTGGCGAAGCCCATTCAGGCCCACTGCAGACGGGATGGGCTCGGTAGTTTGTCGCCCTAGTCGTAGTAGCGCATAGGAGTCTCAGGTAGTAGATCATAGACATACAACATATGATACAAGGAGAATGAAAAGAAAGAGATAAAAAGAAAGAAAGAAAATAAAATAAAAGTCCAAGGGCAAATCGCAAATCGAAAGGCCAAGAATTTCAGTTGGTCCGAGTGGCCTCCGATTCCTCCCCTCAGTAAACTCTCACACTAAGGCAAACTCCTCCCTTCCCTTTCCCAACTTGGTCTTCTCATCTTACTCAATATCTCACTCATCTATAATCCTCTCTTCTTACTTTTTTTTCGAGTTGAAGAGACTATACTTGCTCCCACCCCATTCCCTGTCCATACTCGCCCATCCTCGCCCCGGTAGCGAAACGGATTGATCAAACAACGAGGTGGCCCGACAGGGCTGCCAGACCGATAGGAAATGTCTGGTCATATTTCATCGGAGCATTCTCGCTCTAATTCACGATCCTCTCAAACGCCACACTCTAGAGATTCGACGCCTCGCCACTCCTTCGGTCGCACCTCCGTCTCCAATCCAAATGTCTTCGCCGACGAATACTCATTAGAGCCCATTGACTCCGATCGCATCGAACGTCCCCACAGTCCCTCCTCCATTGCCTCCTCCGCTACTCTTCGTGAAAGTAACCAGCCAAGGACCGTCAGCACGGCGACAACCGAGAACGAGAATCCTTTTGCTGATGATGCTCGGGTGTCCTTCGATGAACCTCATCGGTC